GCTTCCAAGAGTATTCCTTACCTCATTACGTCTTCTTTTTATCAACCCACCTGTGCGACAGTTAAGGTCATGTTCCATACTGAAGTTATTGCCACAGCCATCACATGAAGAGGGGAGGTGTATAGGAGTTTTTCCATATCTTAGTGCAAGAGCATCTCTGAACTCCAAAGGAGGAAGATCTTAGTTTAGTTTTTTAATGGAACACATGACAACCATCCACTGTGTTTCGCTTTATTATTTGCTCCTTGCAATATAGTTCTTTGTTTTTTTAGAGGAAGATTTTGAATGGTTGATTTCAAAATGTTTTCTTCTCTAATCTTCTCTCCTCTTTCAAGTTCTTTTTTGTAACAACTAAGTGTTCTTTATGTTCTTGAATACTAAATTTACTCTTAGTTTTTAGGGAGTCTATAATGAATTTACAACATTTCCTTGAAGCTCGGAACAATGCTTTTCCCTGAGCAGTAGGATCAACTAAACCAATTCCTCCATTTTTTTACTTGCAGATGTAATATTTTTTGTTCATCTTGGTTTACATGAGAGCCAAATAAAGCAGGAAATAGGTTTTGTTCTAATGAGTTTTTTATCAGATTAAAATTAATGTCTTCACTTTCAACAACTCTTTGAAAAAAATTCCATTCAGCTTGTATGGATTTTGTGGCAACAGCATGTGCAGATTGTGGATATTTTTCAGCTACATTCACCAGACTTACCAAATGACTAGTCCACTTTTCTACCTTCTTTTTAATAAAGACGTCTTTTTCTGTTTTGTCACATCCAACAAATCCTCCTAAAAACTACTCCAAGTAACAACCTCTAATCCTGATATGTTAGCTAGGTCTAATGTTGATGGTTCAGATCCAACAATCAAACGGGTTTTGTGAGCTAGTGGGTTGTAACCATATTTAGGCCCAATTTCTTGTAATTTCTCCCACCACTTCATCACATTAGAAAGTTTTCCTTGGCATGATGAGTCATCTGCATACCATACTTGGTTTGTATCTGGGATGGTTTTTAATTCATAAATTAAAGGCAAAGTGGCTAATCCATACAATATTATAGATTGTGGGTCTTTCTGAGTAACACCTTCCCTGCTATACAGCTGTTTTTTACTTCCTGGCATAATTAATGCAGCCTTACTCTGGCATGTGTTGAAAATGACTCTTGCAGCCCTTGGCCATCTAGTTCTTGCCTGCCATAACGCGTGAACTCTGTTTATCTTGTTGAAGGCATTGTCAGCATCAACCATTATCATACAGCTGTCTTCTTCAGTTTGACATTTTTCTTCATATTGGTCTCTCACAAAATGTATTGCACCTTCTATTCCTGCTTTTAATCCTACACAGAGTTGATCAGTGCCACATATGTCAATAACTTCATCACCAGCTGCAAGAATTATGTATTTTGTTAAGATACGGTGAAGCTCTTCTCCTATACCCACCGGTTTAACACCAGGGCATTTGTCGATTGCAACCAACCGATTAGCCATAAGAGCTTGTATTTTTGACCAAGGTATGATTTCTTCATTTAACTTCATTGCTAATTCAGCAATTGACGCTCTTAAAAAAGCACTTTTCTACCACGCCTTAGTAAAAAATCTGCCCATTGTTCAGAAATACTCCCTCCTGGCCCTCCACTCCCATGCAATTTTCTTGCAACTTTTTCTACATGTTCAGCCTCAATCTCAACTGACTCCAATCTAGGCATTTCTTTCATGTGACTTTCATGTGGTAGTTTTAGCAATTCCGGATGAGGTATTGTGCCATTTGGATGTTTTTCTTTCAATACATCAAATACTGCGCGTCTATCACCATCTATTATAGTATCAGGACTTAATATGCCTCCTTTATTGTCTTGACTAATAATCTGAGATGCTTCTTTTATTTTTCCTCTTTGGACTAATCTATTGAATTTAGTTTTAATGAACTCTTCATTATCATTGTATTTGGCTTTACTCTTTGATTTTAGGGACCTACTACATCGAATCGCTTCATCTATTAATTCATCATAACATCTATTAGTCCACTTATCAAGTCTTCTTTCAATGAATTTTCTAATATCTTCCACCTGTCTTACCATGTTTTCTTTTGTAATATAACAGCAATGAAACATATGAATCGCTCGGAACATTCTTGACCATTGGCTAAAAGTAAAATGTCTTCAGCCAACATTTTCACAAATCCGTCACCTATAGAGCCACAGGGTAGGTTGTATTGTAATCTATTGAGATGTATGACTTTTTCCCAACGAGACTTCCAATCTGAGGTAATTTGATGTTCTTCTATAGAACTATTTGTGTTGAAAGATTCTACTAAAATTTTACATTCACCCAAGTTATCCAACTGTAAAAGCTTTGGTTGATATAATGTTTCAGAATTTTTTAAAGGACAAGGTGTTTTAGGAGAATGGGTATGTTAATGAAATAGCTTCTCTTATGCTTTTTAATTTTAATTGCATTATCAACTTTTGGATTGTCAGTATTTGTTACATAATCTTCAGCTTTACCAGTGCCTTTACAATTTTAACTATGAATTTTAAAGGCTCTATTAGTATATTTCTTTTCACAATTGGGACAAAAATCATATCTATCTATGTCAAACAGAGGCAAAGGAGAAGGTTCGACAGATAATTGTGACATTTCTGTTATAGCATCTGTAAATTCTGGTGTCACTTGTACTTCTCATAAGGGCACATCTTCTTCAGGGCACAGTGACTCACTAAAAAAAACTGCTGCTGTCACCTTGCCACTGGAAACAAGGTCTCATGTATGTCTTGTCTCTGCCCATCGTTGTCTGATATAAACCGGTGGACGTGCTTGGAATGTCAGGTCTTGTCCCTCTAACTATTGAACAATCAGAATTAGGGTCTTGCCATGGTCTGGGATTTGATTCAACATCCACACAAAGGAGTAATAAAGTAATTAGTATTGCAAATGTGTAATTAACATTTCTGTATTTAGTTTTATGAATTAGTTTCCAAATTAGTTTGTGTTTTCCATACAAAATCCTTTCCAAACTAATGTCATAATGTATTGACTGTTGATTAAAATTAGATATCATCATCACACAGTTCATACTATGGAAATTACTTAATGCCTCTTTAGCTTCACAAGAATACAAGGAATCCAATACACAAAGAAGATTTAAAAGAAAAACTCTTATTAACAAAAATGTTTTCTTCATGATTATTCTTACTGGATTGTTTATAGGTTAGGATAAAATTTACCTCTCATATTTTTCCATTCTTCTTAAAGATAACGGTAATTCACATAATTCAAATTTGGAAATAACTTTTTGGTAAAATAAAAACATACCATAAAGCTAGTAACAAACTGAAAATTTAAAAAAAAATCTTTAAATAATTTGGAGTGAACATTTTTTAATATTTTGATTATTATAGAACAGATGATATTTTTACTGATGATATATTTAACAAATACATTTCCGGTTATGTATGTGAAGGGAAATCTCAACTCGAAATGTTATGAGAAATAAAAAATCCCGTCTCGCCTTGTCTCGAACTAAAAATCCAATCTCGTCCATCCAGAGTTTTATTTTTTTTAAGCTCTACAATAATTTAGAAGGAAATTGCAAAATTGTATGTTTTTTAATTTCTTAGACTGATGTTTTAGATTTAGACTAAAAAATTTGGTAATTTTCAAAGTTGAACTACAGGCCTATCCTAACCGATATCACCATGTTTCCTATGCGTAAGAGTTATTTTAAATAAGGTAAACCTAATTAATTTTTTTTCATACTGATGTTTTTATTGGTGTTTGTTGATTATACATTTTAAATATTCTTGCCTATTATTATTATTTTTGTGACTAACCAGTCATATGTTATAAATCAGTAGATATTTAAGAATGTTACAAAATCAGGTAAAAATGTAGAACGTACATTTTCCGTTATGTAGTCTATGAGAAGGGAAATCCCTTCTAGAAATGTTATGAGAAATAAAAAATCCTGCCTTGTCTTGTCTCAAACCAAAAATACAAACTGGTCCATCTAGAGTTTTATTTTTTATTTTTTTAAGCTCTACAAAATAATTTAGAAGGGAATTGCAAAACTGTATGTTTTTTAAGATCAAAAATTGTAAAAACAAATTTTTATTTTTCACTCAATAAAATCTCATATAAATCGTTCCCATCATCGGATAATGGTGGTATGTGAGCTCATTTGAATATCGTATGTTTACACGTTAATAACAAATTAATCAAAGCCCAATCATTTTTGCTCAAGTTATAATACTAATAGATACACGTATATAAATATTAAATATATGTATTTGAATGGATGGTGTTTTTGGCCTCTGGGGACATCAAATTGAAAAAGTAAATCGTCGTCGAGTCCAAGTCTTACCATGAGAGGTAAGAGGTTATTCCCTATGTGGGGAATTGAGTGAAACTAGTTGATGGCTTTCCAAAAACTCTTCTTATCAAATAGAAACCCGATTTTAATAACTACTTTTTTCAATGAATATAAATTGTGGAAGTACTTATTTCTATTACATAATTTTCAATAACTTCTGGATCAATAAAAAAAAAACTAAAAAAATGTTTTAAAAAATCTACCTGTATAGCCTGAAGAGCCTCATTTAGGATTTATAAATCAGATGGTCATTAGACTAATCAGGTATTCTTGACTGCTGATTTACTTATTGTAATAAATAGCGACATGGATGTCCATCTAACTTGGGCTGGAAGGTCAGAGGGGTTTAGAATAACTCCCATTAAAGAGGGGGGTCTGGGTGGCCTCTCCCAGAAAATAGTTAAAGTTTAGGTACACAATTTTTGATTTTAGGCTACAAATTTATTTTATTAAACACCTCGGTAATATGCTTTAACTATTAACTTTTATGATCTTACTGGACAATCTAAGGAATGTGGTTAACTTGGAGTTTTATTGGAGGGGGTGAGCCCACCGTAGCCCATTTTGGTGGATGCCCATGGACAGCAATGGTTACAATGGCCTATACTAAGGATATGTTGTGCATGTATTTACCCTCAAGGCTAGAAGTAGCGTGTTGATGGCTTCCTTTATCTTGTGATGGGCTGGAGAGGAGGTAATCTGACACAGTTGCTTGTATACGAAGATACCAAGGCTTGAAAACGCAATACACCGAGCGACTCCAGCGCTCTCTGTCTTGCCACTGCGCAGTAACATCTTCACAACGTGTTCCTGCCACACACAACCATACATATTTATGCTCTCCTACAAATGAACCTTAACTTAATGAATTGAACTACGAAATTTCAAGGGGCTAATTCCATGTTTAAATAATGGGGGTAAGATTTTTTAAATAAAAACTCTGGTGCAGCAACAATGTTAATATCTTTAAATATACGAGCATTTGGCCCATCCCAGATAGGGGAATTGAGCATTTATTAATACTTAATATAATTCAGAACAGCTAGTTTACACGTATAAGGACAAATTTGAGCAGTTTAAATAGGGAAAATCATCTTGTAAACAAATGTCACGTGACCACCTATTTGTTTCATCCAATTACAGGCCTATATAATAAGCATTTTAAATCCGATAGTTTTACAATAAAACAGCAATTGTGTTGTTTTGAAAAGCCTTGAAGTGAGATTGGCGGCCAATTCACACACACTGGTTTTGGGTACAATAGCTACATACCACCTTCCATTACATACTACCATATATTTTCTCTGCACTCTATTTTCAAACCCAGCAGTACGGTTACTATTTGGTTTTTCTTGTCAGTGCGCAAGTTTCTGAACAATACAGTTCTACTGTGGTAGTTACGGTATGGTACAAATAGATTTTGGATTCTACTGACACCCTGCAGCTTATTGGACAGTTTTCTAAAGACCTACTACAGCGGTTGACATTAGTGATGGGTTGGTACTTCACATCAAATGTCAGTTCCACCGGTTCTTGGTAACAGAACCGGAACCGAGAACCGATGGTGAAATGTTGGTACCGGTACCTTCGGTACCGATATTGCCGCGATCGCGGATGAAGACAATGATGTTACCGCGATCCCGGGAGATGATTATGACGTCTACATGGCCGCAAGAGATGTTCATGATTTTGCCGAGATCGCGGGAGACGATGATGACATCTACACGATTACATTTCCGTGACTGCGGGAGTCAATGATGATGTTAACATGGCCGCGGAAGATGATTTGATCGCGATGACGATGACGTTACTGCAATACCAGGAGACGATGATGACGTCTACATGGCCGCAAGAGATGTTCATGATTTTTCCGCCATCGGGGGAGATGTTCATGATTTAACCGCGATCGTGGGACGTCCACACGATGACGTTTCCATGACTGCCAGAGTCTATGATGATGTTTACAGGGCCGCAGAAGATGATTTTGCTGCGATTGCGATCGCGGGCGACAACGACGATGACGTTACTGCGATACCGGGAGACGATGATGACGTCTACATGGCCGCAAGAGATGTTCATGATTTTGCCGCTATCGTAGACGACGACAAAGACGTTTATGTGACCTCTGGAGTTCATGATGATGTCTACACGGCCGCAGGAGATGTTCATGATCTTGCCGCGACCGTGAATAACCGTGATGATGTTTCAGTAATTGAGAAAGATATTTAGGATTTTGCAGTGATCTCAGAATACATCGATTATCACAGTATTACTTTGAGTATGGCCGGACTAAAAATACCAGGCTGGAACACCTCTATATAGTACCTGAAATATGGTAGTTATTTGATGTGATAAGAAGGGTTTGACTTGGAAATTGGCTAGTTAGAATGTTTCATTGCTGCATACATTTTTTTACTTGAAAACCCCTCTAATAGCCTATCCCAAAAATACTTAAAATGTGTTTGGTTATTTAGGTGTGTTTTTTTTTGTACAAATAAGTTAAATTTTCTTAATCCTTAAGTTTTGTACCAACCTATACTAAGGCAAAATAATGTAAAAATCCTAAAAATATAAAATTAGGTACCGATGGTACCGGAACCAAGAATCGCTTGTGGCTAGGAACCGGTACCGGTACCGACTTTGAAAAAGTGGTACCAATAACAATATATTGTATAGCAAATATCAATAAGACAAGATTAAACATACTATATACTAGAACAGTTAAAATTATTGAAGTAGGAACTTAAGTGAAGTAGTTATTTCACCTCTGATTACTCCTTGTTGGTTACACATTTTACCTGACATCAACTTACCTTTGCATCGGTAGCTGGTCTAGCAGTGAAATCTTTGGCTGTTGGTTGAAGCATTGGCATTTGAAAAAGTACTTGAGGAAAACTCAAGAATGACCCCAGGATAGACATTGCTTCTGTTCTGGGAGTCTGCAGAAATCATAATATTGTATTTTAATTAATTTTCAAGTATGAGGTTCTGTGTAGAGAACATATGTAAACAGAACCTGATTATGAAACATTAACCAGTTTTCATGGTCATTAGATAACAACCAAATTAATTAACTACAATATATTATTGTTAGGTTATCAAGCAACATTTAAATTAAGGAACAGAGTTAGATAATTACGATACTTGAATATTATAAAAAAACATCCAACAGATTTAAATCTATTTGCAAAATAACTCAAGAAGGTTACCAGATATCTTTAAAAAATATATATATAAGCCTATTCTTTAGTAAAAAAATGTAATAAAGAAAGCAGGTGAATCCATACTATGGTCGCCAAATGTGCAGTTGTTTATCTATTATTTATTTATTTTTTCAAAAAATACAAATTTCAAAACACATACAAAAGCCACAACAAAAATTTCCAAGCCACAAAAGCCAATATGGCTTGTCTGCAGCAATTATTCTAATTTTGTTATTTCACAGTGCTTTTTTATTCAATCAGTCTTTGTTATTCAATCAGTCTTTTGTTTCCCTTGTTTTTCTGTAAGAATTCAATAATATATCAAACCAATCATAGAATTTAAAGTAGTCGGATTTTAACAATTATTAATTAATAAACAATGAAAAAAGTAACAGTAATAAATGGATTTAAAACCATTAAAAAGTAACAATAATAAACATTTGGAACAGTGAACACTGAACAGTGAATAAACTATTAAAAAAAGTAACAATAATAAACATTTGGAATTGTGAACAACAATAATAAAATATGAAACACAGTTATCTTTAACTCAGATCTAGATATAAATTCTTTAACATCTTCTTTAAAACTCTACAGTAACATATATTCATCAGCTGTACCGGTAAACTGTAAACTGTTTAACAATAATGGAACTAAATATTCCCTTGTTCTTTTAGAATATTTATTTGTTGTTCTAGGCACAATAAAGAACATTTGCATTGAGTTGTAACTATGAACATTAAGGTTTTTGAACTCATCTGAAAAATAATAATCTGTTGTAATTAAAAACATAAACAGCCCATCAACTGGCAAAATGTTGACCAATTGATAACCTAGCATGGGATTATCAACCAGATCTAACTTCATACTTTATACAATAAGAAATCTTTTCAGAGCATGAATGTCAAAAAAGTTGTACAATATCTTTGGAAGATACTCCTAGAATAGGTCAACGTATAAGAAAAGATGCTGTTGAAATAATAATAGTAGTGATGGGCCGATTCCTGAATTGGTCGATTCCGCACTCGATACCGATACCTGTTAAAAATTCATTTAATAACACATATAACTTATGTGTGCTTCTCGCTATTCCTATAAATAAAGGAGCATGTTATTTTTATTTAATCTTTATACGAAAAGATAACTGCATTGCTATTGATTAAGGTTACATAGATTAGGTTAGCCTATAAGGATAATAAGATACTTCAAGAAGACATATATTTAACATATTTTATTAAATTAAATTGAGACAACAATCACCAGTTATGGTAGGCCTAAATGTTCTCTGAGTTTTTTGTTTGCATAGGAATTTGTACATCTAGGCATACAATGAATGTTCCATATTGCTTGAGTTATAGATTCAAAGTCAATATCAAAGTCATCTTCAATATTGTCATCATCAATATCACTTAAACTACTAAAAGAATCACATAAAAGTCATAGGGTTCGTCACATCACTGGAACGGAGATCATAACCCATATTGAACAACTCACTACGCACGCACAGCAAACAAACAACAAAACGAAAACACAAGTTTAACAATTAATTTGCTATTTGCAAACTCACGACAGCTGTTTTGTTCAGTCAGAGAGAAACAACATAATAACGATAATAATACATTTGTTTATTGAACGAATGTTACCTTATTGCCTTTGTTCTTGTAGAAAGATGTTAAATCCTCCAATATATTTCGCCACTGTGTGTGGTAAATAGATCTTGTATGTAATGTAAATAGATCTTCTCATCTCCCTGATGATGCCACACACTGTGGCGAAATATATTGGAGGATTTAACATCTTTCTACAAGAACAAAGGCAATAAGGTAACATAGTTCAATAAACAAATATTCTAGTTCTTGTCACTGGGAAATACATCAAATAAGCTTGATGATAATACAAGTTTGGCCCAGCAGACAGGTTTCTGCTGGACTAGTTTTGCCGAAGTTTGGTTAAGTTGACCATGTGAGTAAGTGCAAGTTTTCGTTTTCGTTTTAAGCTCAAGGAGCAGTTTTATTTTTCGTTTTAATTTTTCTCGTTTAGTTTCTCACAGGCAACTTAAGTCAACTTATTTTTTTTGTAGTAAATTCAGACTCTGTGAGACTTAGGCTAGGCTAGGCCTATCTTAAGCTAACCTTTGTCTGTTTCAGGTTAACACTCATACCTTAACTCCGTAGGTAAGCGGGGTGACTACTTAGTTTACTAGTTGTCTAGTTAAGTAGCTAAGCTAGTAGAGTGTCAAGTAGTTATTGCCCACAGAGTCACGTCAAAATTATCGATTCCCCACAAGCTCCCCTAATTAGAGTGATGATTATAAGCGTGGTGTCTGGTAACCCGCTACGTTCGCCCCGAGCTCCGATAACCAAGGCTATCAAAATGAGGCTATCCTAATCACTATCGACTCCTGGGAAAATCCCCGCAACCCGACTCGTGCGATTCCTGGGACTTTGTTTATCGTACAGGTGGCGTAATTTCCCACGTTTCGTCTTCAGGAAAATTACGTCACAAATGAAATGTACATAAACGGGTCCGCGGAATTGGCTAACTATGGAACTCGCTAACCCCATGTTAAATGCCCTATCTTAAAATTTGGTCGATGAGAGGAACTCGCTAACTTGTTCGGTTTCGGAATTGGCTAACTCCGGAACCCGCTAACCCGCTCCAGAGCCGGGTTAGTGACTTCCGTACTAGGACAGAATTCGCTAACTCGGTCCCTCGGCGGAACTCGCTAACTTCCAATCACAAGCGTCGCGCGCCGGCCAATAGGAGCAAAGCACGAAGATTGTTGGCCAGTGTTGCCGAAAGTGTAGTACCTACGATCGTATCGGTACCATAATATCGTATCCAATGAATAATTCGCAGTAAGAGCAATGTGGTTGATGTTAAATAAGTATATTGAGAAGTAGGCTATGTTTATTATTATTGTTATGATTATTATTACCTAGCGTGGAAAATGCAATATTATATTCTTATTTTAATTGTTGTTTATTCGTTTGTAAAAAGATAGTTCGTTCGGTTATTTTGTTGATGAAATATTTATTTTCATAGGCCGTAATTTGCTCCTTTTCAAATAAATTGCATTAAATATATGAAATGCTGCAAATAAAATTATCAAGTTCGTATTTGGTAGACCGGGTTTGCAGCCGTGAATGATTTTCCTTGATAGGCTATAATATGGCTCTTTAAAGGTCTATTTTATGTCTGTCATGCGGGTTATGGTTTTTGTTATCACGTATTTTTCTAGTATTCGTGGTTATACTGTATGATTACCCAAATAGTTTCGAGTCGTAATGTTAATCAAAAATAAAATAGGCTCGGTATTTGTATAGGTAGATGATATACTTAGTAACATTAATATTAATAATTTAAACCTGAAACGTGGAACAGTTTATGACAATATTTCGTCTTTACTTTAGTCTAACAAAGGAATTTAAATGTTGTTACATTATTTATGTTGCTGGAAAAATGTAACATAATTCATTTACCATAAATTGAAGCAGTATTAGGCCTATAATAGTGTCTCCTGTTCAAGTCAACCAACAATTAGCAACTGTAAAAATATTATTAATTATTAATACTGAGTTTATTATAATAAACTTTGCCTATTATAGACACAGTATCAATACACTTAAATTTATGATATAAATAATACGTAGCGTAGATTTATTGTTTTCCACATAAATGTTTTTAAATGATTTTACATGATCCGTTTAACACTTTTATGACTATTTCATTTTTTAATTTTGATGGAAGAATATATTTTTTTTAATTCGTAAAAAATATTGTAAAATAGTCCCTAGCTCTTTCACCAATCATTATGCTAATTACTGATATACAATTTAGATTATATTCGTTTCTTGAATAATTTTCACATTTAGGCCTGCATAAATTTTCCTCTTTTCTTCATCTACTTCTTAGGGTTGATTTGTTGATATTTCAAACCTTACAGTTGGATAAATTATAATTCTACTTTTATATGTTGTATCATATATTAAAATAATGCTCCGGTAATTGCCGTAGACCTGCTATGCCTAGAATTTTGAGGATTAAACTGCCGATCTACTTTAAGTGTGTTAGGTCTAAACGTCACTACAGAAATGTATTTTATTAAGTGTTAATAAATATACTTAAAAAATTTTTTTTGCAGGCTTCCCATTTAGTAGCATGGGTGCCGATCGTCAAAGTTTTGGCCTATTTTGATTTAAAAATTCTTCTGAGTTAAGACCTAGTTGTTATATATTCTTTAAGCTTAGATTGAAACTTTTCAGCATCTTCTATTTCCCTAATATAGCCAATGAATTTTAGATGAAGAGTAATCAATAAAGTGGTAATGTATATGGAGTGCATTAAATATTAGTAAATTCCTATTATCATATACCTCTTATACCAAACATCCATCGCTGACCAGTAATGACTGGATAGATTTCGTCAAAAAGTTTCAAGTTTTATAATACTTTATAATGTAAACAAGTTAACATGGCAGTAGGTCATGAGATCCATTTATCACTTTCCTCTATAAAATATTCTGGAATAGAGAGGCCGTGCCTTGAGAAGTTCCTCGACTTTCTTTTTAGAATTCCTGAGAGGGAGTGACTTTGTGTTCTTGTCCAGATGGTTGTAGCCTGATTCCAAGGACAGGATTGCAGTCTTTTTGCTTACTCAGCCTGCAGAAAGTTAACCCGTCCCGTAGGCTATTTGAACGGGTTGTTCTCTATAAATTTTTTTAACGTATATTTCATAATGTACTAGAAGAATTAGACGTTTTCCAATGACTTATGTATTCTAAAGTTATAAAGGAAAGAAATTGATCTTATGTCTTACGTGTTTTTGGTTTATTCAGTATGAATTGTGTATTTCAGTATTTTTAAGAATTGTTGTGATTCTAAAAATTGACCCAGATGTTCCTGTTTGTTACAATTTGTATGAGTGGTGGTTATAGATAAAGAGACAGCTGATTGTTTCCAACAACAAAGCTATTACGTTTTCCTACAGTTACCTATCAATGTAGGCTATATGTTCCCTCACTGATTTGAGAAAGCAAAGTGACCAATTCGCTCATCAGTGAGACAATGTTATCATTGTCTCACTCACTCCAGATTTGCAACGTGAAGGCACGAAATAGTGAGCGCGTAACATACAGACAAGGTCGTATGCGCGCGACGTACATTACCTAAATACCTGCAGAATAACTCCTCTTCATCGTTGACCAGCCTGTGCCGGATATATAGCGTCAAAGTCCTTACAAAACTACTATTTACAAATAAATAAACATATATTTAAAATATACTTACTGTGCATTGGCAGCGACATTGACAGCACTGGCTGTAAATCAGCTGGTCAGCTGTTGTATAATTAAATGTAATATTAAAAGTTCACTTCTGTGTAAAAATATGTCACGTTTATTTACCAATTTATTTTTTTTATGGTAACTGTAGGAAAAATAAAATGTGCAGCTCGAGTGCAAAGTGCAATTGCTCACTAGTTGCACAAATAAATACTGTTCAGTACTTCATTCACAACACTCGTCCTTCATTAATTTATGCTCATTCTGTTCCTGGTATCATATAAAAAATGTAATATCATAGTGTTCAAAAATGGTGTATCTTACATTTTTTAACCATGCCGCCAGATTATCTATTTTATTTATTTAATGTACCTCCATGTCCAAGTCCAAGTGTATATGGCTGCTGTGACTAGCACCACGCTAAATTTTGTTTTAACCTCCAAACTTGGGTTGTCATCATATAGAGCCAATGCCATTCAATTAGCGTTTGCAAAGTTTTCATGAACCAACATAATAAATAACTTCTTAATGATGTTATAATTGCCTTTTAATTGCTTTGAGCTACGTAGCTATTATATTCCCCCTAATGGATTTGATAATAGAAACCAATACCGTAACAATTATCTTTATTGACACTGACGTTTTGAATTACGGCAGATTACGACTATTTCGTCGTGCAAGGTTGGCAACGCTCCGTGCAGTGGGCGCGGCCGGGTTAGCGACTTCCAGAGTTAGCGAATTCCGCCGCGGGACAAAATCGAGTTAGCGGGTTCCGGAGTTAGCCAATTCCTGACTGGGACGGTTAGCCAGTTCCGACACACGACCGAGTTAGCGAGTTCCAGAGTAAGCCAATTCCTACGTCTCACATAAACCCTATCACGAGTTAGAAAACGTGAGTTATACTAGTACCATTGACTATACACACTTTATGTGTATTATATTTATATATCCAATGCTTGTACCATTTGGCAACATTGCCTGCGATCTGACAACATGGCGGCAAAACGTGAGTTATACTAGTACCATTGACTACACATACTTTATGTGTATTATATTTATATATTCAATGCTTGTACCAACTGGCAACTTTGCCCTCGATCTGACAATATGGCGGCAAGTGCCTCTATCATTCAACTAGAGTTCTGTTCTACTAGTTGTCAGTTGAACACGTCATGTTGTGAAATGCAAAGGCAAGCTATTTTGGATTATAAAACTAATACGAATGTGAGATAATGAACTTGGAATTATTTATATTAGCTGACTTCAGAGTATTCCAAATAAACTATGATGTGTCACTCTTTACAACCTTCAACATCAGTTGAGTTTAGCATCATAATTAACCTCACTTTTCAAAATCGGTATCGAGTACAATGAAGCGAAGTATTGAGTATCGGCGATTTTTCGATACCACTGGTATCGAAGGTATCGAGGTATCGAGAATCGGAATCGGCCCATCCCTAAATAATAGTGAATTATATTTGTCTTGTCAGCATTCAGTAATAGTGCATTTATTTGAAGTCAATGTTCTAACTCATTTATTATTGTCTCTGATGTAAATTCTGTTCTTTCCATGCTATTATATCTACGGTAATAAATTATGTAGTATCATCTTTGAAATAGTTGATAAATGAAAAATAAAACAGTCAAAGTTATACTTCGTTCACAAGATTTAGGCAGTTTGAGGGGAATATCCCCTTTTTGTTTTAATGTATATTGCTTAATCCGCTTTTGAGCTATTATTTGAAAGGTAAGGGTTAAGTGTAGAGAATAGATTTCTTCCCCTAAAACCGCATAAATATTGTGAAAGAAGTACAGTAACAAAGAAAAGTAATTTTTTTGTACATGACAGACACATACCGTTCTCAGATCCGGACAGCAAATTACAGCATTGCAAGCATGGATGAAATCCAATAAAAGTAAGGAAAATCCTGGGAGTTGCAGTGAAAAGAACCGTGGACCACAGTAGCGAACAACAGTGTTCAAGGTATGCTGCAATAAAGCAGAAACAAGGTTTAGTTGTGAAAGGAATAACAGTTTAAGGCGTCACTAAAATAAAATAAACCTTCTTTCTAATAGCTTCTATACTTTTGTAATCGAGTAATTTAGACAGCAATGGGTAATATAAGTAAGTTATAGTTAACTCTACAGCAGAACTTAATGGTAGAATAATTCAATTGCACTAGTAAAACCCAGATCTTCCGGTCAAGTGGTCAAGATGTCAAAGAGATCTGTAGGAAATCTGTGCGGTTTGTGTCTTAAGATCACAAATAAGTCTAATCCGAGTATTCAGTGTGCAGGATTATGCAATAAATTAATCCACCCAACATGTGTGGGATTGGAAAGTGACAAATATAAAACCATCCAGGACCTAGGAGGATTTACAAGATGGATTTCTTGTGAGTGCATTGGGAGTATAGGAACCCTAAGATTTTTTTTTTAATTATGATGAAAAATAATTTGAACTAGTGGTTGTCCAGTGGTTGAAAACTCAACCAAATACATGTTATGTATACGTATTGACTATTGGATACTGAAGTAGACATCCCATCTATATGGATCATATGTCACAATCTTTTTAGCGAATTTCCCATATAGGGAATAAGCTATTACCGTAGTACTCACGGTAAGACCTGGACCCGTGACCAATTTTTTTTTCGTTTTGAGGTCCTTAGAGGTCAAAAACACCATCCGTTCAAATTCATATATATATATATATTTATATATATATATATATATATGTGTGTCCGTTAGCGCGATAACTCGAGCAAAAGTGATCCGATTTTGATTAAATTTGGTACAAACGTGTAAACCTACGTTTATTCGAACGAGTTCGCGAACCAGCATGATCGGACCATGGGAACGGGGGTTTATGGGGGCTTTTATGGGGTAAAAATGGGTTTTTCCCATTTTTGACCCAAAAAACATAAAATTTTGCAATTTCTTTCGAAACTATTTTGCAGAGCTTAAAAAAACAAATAATTTAGTATATTGAAGCGTTATAATGCGCCTAATGGTTACGGAGAAAATTCCAAAAAATTGTAAATTTAAAATTCCCATGTTATTCTTATGGAGAATAAGTAAACTGTTGTAGTTTGCTTGTTTATAAACATATTTTGCCCAAATTTGGAAAATGTTTTTATTTCTTACTAACTATTAACATTTTACATGAAAAACACTTTTACCCTCCCTGTTGCAGCAAACCTAAGTATGTTTTAAACTGATTCTATTTAAATAGGGAATAAATGTGATATTTTTAAGGAGACATTTTAGTGTAAATCCATTCAGGGAAATGGAAATTCGCTTAGTCTGCAGGTTTGCTGCGGCGGGGGTATTTTATTAAAAACCATGTAGTTGTGGGAGCCATTCACCGAAAGCGTGTCTTAAATTCTATTTTCTACCTTATTTGTTGTTGACAAAGTTGATGGGCCATAACAGTTGCTATAGCTCATTAAAAAAGTTTGAACAAACATTGTGTATTCGACAGAAATTTAATCATTTAGATCAATGATCTGTTGGTGGCTCACATCAACTACGACAAATTGAATTAAAAACTGGTGACAACTTTAACATGGGGATGGAGCAAGGCCACACTAAAAAAAACACTTTTTTTTGTGGCCTTGTATGGAGTGTAAAGGTTCAGGCTTCTCTATTTTCACCCCACGCTGTAAATAAAACATGTGATTGGAATTTCTTATATTTGTTTTTATTTTCTGTTTATATTCCGTTGTTATTTCGTCACCAGCATGGCAACCCTTAAAGCCCTAGTTAAATTTAAAAAATTAAAAATTCATTTTTACTTTCTCCCCTTATACCATAGTATATGGAGAAAGTATTGTTTTCGTCAAAATTTTCGAGTTTGAGTTTTGAGTGGATATATTCGTTTTGGGCCCCCCTGGACCCAAAAAAGTGGTTTTCGAAGTGATGTCTGTGTGTGTGTGTGTGTCTGGATGTGTACAGAGCTAGGGACTACACTTGTGGTCCGATTTCGATGAAATTTGGTATGTAGGTTCTAATTCATGGTATCTCCAGGAGTTTTTTTTCATTTTTTTGGAATTTTGATTTTTAATGGGGATTTTCCCATAAAAACCCATAAAAAACCGGAAAAATCGGATTTTCTCAAAAATGGCTTAAACGATTTTGATAAAAATTTAGTATGTTGTAGCCCTTTAAATTCTGAACAAAATTGTACAAATCCCATTTCTGTAAAAATTACGGTTCAAAAGTTATGGTAAATTATGTTATTTTCCCATAAAAACCCCATAAAAAATGAAAAATAGGATTTAAGAAAAAAATCCGGTTTTATTTTAACATAGTATGTTATGGTCCTTAAAGTTTTGATAGTTTTTTTCATTTTTTAAAAATGTTCATTTTTAATGAGAATTTTCCCATAAAACCCCATAAAATAACGGAAAAATAGGATTTTCCCAAAAAGGGCCCGAACGATTTTGATAAAAATGTTGATGTTATAGTCCTTTATATTCTGAACAAAATGGTACAAATCCCATTTCTGTAAAAATTATGGTTCAAAAGTTATTGTAAATTATGTTATTTTCCCATAAAAACCCCATAAAATAACAGAAAAATCTGATTTTCACAAAAATGGCCCGAACGATTTTGATAATAATTTAGTATGTAGTCCTTTAAATTCTGAACAAAATTGTACAAATCCCATTTTAGTATATTTACTCTCACCGCTTACACATGATAAAGTTTGTTGACAAACTTATGGGAGAAAGTATGTGTCAGAATGCTGATACCGTTTATTTGTGCTTATATTTGAATAACTTCTTGATTAGCATCGTACGTGTTATTAATTACCTGAAAAATACAGAAATATATTACAGTAGACCCCCTCTTAACCGACTCTAATGGGACCAGACCTAGGTCGGATAACTCAAAAGGTCGGATAAAACGGGCAATCCCTCATAACATAATGAAGTGCTATTCATTTGGAATTATATAATCATTATTTTGAAGTCATACTTGCATTATTTATAAAATAAACTACTCTTATCTCCTTTTTCATATTGATAGAAAAGTCACAAATAAACAAAAACACAGTTGAGTCAAATAGGCCTACTTTCAGTGGAATATATTATTATAATACTAGGCAAGAGTCAATAAAATTCCTATTTTAATAACTTTAATACTGTAATGTATTAATTGATGCTTTCCAAATACATCGTAATACAGTACAGAACCTTTTGTCGACATTAAAGATACAAGCGACCGTTTTGTTACAAAACAGGACATTTATTTATAGCCTCTCACTGGAGGCTCCAGGCACAAAAACTATCTTGACCTTGGAGTTGTTAACCCCCTTTCCCTGCCTTCCTTACAAGTTGCGTTGTTTGTTTACTCTGGCGATAAGATAATCAGTTCTCAAAATCGTAACGCACTTTATGATGTTATAAATTTGCCGCACAGATAACAAATCAGATCAGATGTGCTCGAGCTACGAACGATGATGACAAACTGACAATAGGCTATGCTATATTTTTTGTGCTAAACACAAAATAGCTTATTGTTAGTCATATCCTGTGGAGATAAGCGTATGGTTCAGTTCTCATCGCCCAGCGTGGGAGCGGAAATGCCGAGATTCCTAGAAAGCGGCGGTTAAACCGAGCTGCTCTCAAATCAAGGTCGGTTAAAACAAACTGTATTATTTTACGATCGAAGGCGGATAATCCGATTATCGGTTAATACGAGGTCGGTTAAGAGGGGGTCTACTGTACGTCTAATAATAACACTTAATTACATTAATACATTCGCCTATTGGGTCTGATGATGATTGGAGTGTCCAATCTAAATCGATCACCACTTACCAACTTTTACATGTATTTACCGTCTTGTAAGTCAACAGTATAAGTGTAAATATATTATTGCAAGTGTTATTAGACGTAATATATTTCTGTATTTTTCTTATATTTGAGTCTATTTTAGTTTTGAAAAGGATTCTGCACTTCTACAGGAAAATATCTTTCTAACAGTATGCGTAGATTTTCCCTGTGATGCACACGAGCTGAGAAAAAAGGTTTTAAAGAAACATGCTTGCCTATTAATATATAGATATACCTACAATTTGAGTATTGATGACTATTGCAACATTGCAACCATAATGAATCTTTTGGGAAATTATTTTCCATCGTAGAGACTCTAACTAAAGACAATTAAGAAATTAAGGAGATGTTAATAAGTACTTCTGACGTAAATTATAGGTTGGAAAACCATGTGACTAAGGGCAAGCCGGAAGTTTATACCTTGGGAAAACAGCAGAAGCAAAGTATAAACACAGTTAGCAGGGAGCCAGCATTTAAAAGCAGACTTATTTATATAATTATCGACGGAAAATCCATTTTTTTACAAGGTATACATTGTAATAATTTATATAATATTTGTAATAAGATCAAAATTGTGTCAGAGACGTCTAGTTAATACAGTGAGACTAACTTAGAAAACGTGCTGACTAGTACTACTGAAATATTAATAATATGTGTATATATAAAACAGACTAGAAATAAATAGAATGATGACAAGCAAGGACTAGAGTTGAGGTACAATAATCATAACAAACTTAACAAAAATAACAATGAGACAAACGCTAACAAACAACAATGAGAACATTAATCCATTAATGAAAATGCTTATCATTAGCTACTAAGTATAAAGTAAAGTTTTTTGCAACCCATGAAACTGCTATTCTTAATAAAAGAGATTTACGTTCTTACAGTGAGAATAAACTTTTGTACCATGTAGAAAGTGTTGCTTTAAAACATAAAGAACTTTACAGTTTAGCTTTATCTAGCATAGCCAGAGAGGAAGCAAATCTCAAAACCTGCACCAAGTCAATGAGCCCAGCTTTAAATAAACAAAAAACTCCTTTAGCTAAACAAAACACTAATTCAAATAATGTAACTCCGGATGATGGGGATACTTCGAAGAGTTCTACGCCTTGTGTGTCACTGAATCGTACAGAAAAAGAAAAGAACCTCTGACTCATGAATCATCCAACAATGACCAAGATCGGAAAGGAAGTAATTACTAGGACTTACACACAAATATTAATGCAAGAGCTTAATGCTGCAAAAAGTGAAATTGCAAGTCTAAATTTGGTCATTAATGAGCTTCAAACAAATAATGAAAGTTTATCAAAAGAACTGAATTGTGCAAAAAGAAGAATTGGTCAAGGATGTGGCAAATGCTTTCCTCCACTAAAGGCCCAAAATAAAAATCAATGGATGCTGGAAACAAAGCCAAGAGGTAGGAGCAATGCCATTGCCTCTCGAGGTGTTGATTGCTCAAATATCTACTCTGTTTTGTCATACCTTAGTGAAAGTAGCGATGAGGAAATCGAAGTCAACGAAATGGATCTACAAAGGCGGCAAAAACAAAACAAATCCAACAGAAGATAAATTCCCCCTGCTCCACAAAACTATAACAAAAAAATAAAACGGCCTCAGCTTCTAATTCTGGCAGATAGCCATGGGAAAAATCTAAATTGCCTTATTGAGCAAAGATCCTCTGCAAATGTCTCTGCAATTGTTAGACCCGGAGCTAATTTCAACCAGGTGGTCGAAGAAGTCTCAAACCTGGGGAGAAACCTGTCAACCGAAGACCATCTTTTAGTCATTGGTGGATCTAATAATGTTGGGATTACAGGAGTCAATCGTATAATACTTCAATTTGAAGAACTGAAGAAGAAAGTCAACAATACAAACCTTATCCTGGCCACCCTGCCAATGAGGCATGATAAACCTGAACTGGATTACAAAATCTCAAGAATTAATGCAGAGTTGGAGAGGCTTGCCACAAAATCCAGCCACAGTTTTAAAATCCTCCCTCTCCATGAACTTCCTCAACACTATTTTACGCAACATGGACAGCACCTAAACAGAAGAGGAAAAAATAAAGTAGTAGAGATGATTACAAAGTTATTGCTTAATGACAACAAAAGAAACAGTCCTAGACGCCAGATCATTGCACCAAAGACAGACATAGTTCCAAGTAATGGTGAGATTCAGGTTGTCGATGCCGACACGGGAAATTAATTTTCCCAAACAATATCCAACGACTTTGAAAACATTCGCCACATGTCTGTGGGAGTGGCAGTGGTTTTCAGGAGAAAGTTTGGACAGCCGCAACGAAGTGACTGCATCACAGAAAGACTGGCTTGCCAAAAAAACAGTAATGGGGCCACAGTGTATAGCCTGATTACCAAGGCTGAATATTCGAGGAAACCAGATACAAAAGTTTACGATGAAGCTTTCGATCAATTAAAAGAAGATTTTTTCAAGAAAGAACTTAAGACTCTCATATGCTCACCAATGGGATGTATAAGAGACCTCATCTTGCCGGAACACTTTGCCAAAAGGATTGTGGACTTCCATCGTGCTACCGGTGCTACTATCTGCATCGTAACCTCTGATCAACCTACAGCAAAGAGAGTTCTGAGGCGTAGGATTCCCCAAGTGGAGTTTGTCACAAAGTTGATAAAGCTGATCACCACCGAAGAATTTTCAACACCTCCACAGACAGACATCACAACCGAGCTATCTCCAGACATCACTCAACCAGATGAGTCTCCTCTCATCGTTTCAGCAAATGTCAATAAAAGAAATGACACCAGCACAGGATGGTTGTCATGATAATGATAATGGTTTTGATGGTCATATTCCAAATTGTAGATGTACGCCAATGGAAGAAAAGGAGCTAATTGCCATTTTTGATTCCATTGAGCTGATAGTCAAATAGGACTGGCGACGTCTTCCTGTGAAAGGTTACACTGGTAAATTTTTCGATGTTGAGCTTCACTCCATTAGAAATACACCAGTCCTCTACGGCAAGAAGATCACACTAAAGCAAGTTGCAATCTTGGGACGATGAAGTCACTCTGTAGTTTTACCTGATCACTGCAGGTGAGTGCTATGTGTATGACTCTGTAGAACTGAGTTAGTAGCCCAGGAGGCAGTGGTACATCATGGCTAGACAACACCATGTTACACAATAGTCAAAAGGCAATCAGTTTTACCTGATCACTGCAGGTGAGTGCTAGGTGTATCACTCTGAAGATTTGAGTCAGTAGCCCAGGAGGCAGTGGTACATCATGGCTAGACAACACCATGTTACACAATAGTCAGAAGGCAATCAGTTTTACCTGATCACTGCAGGTGAGTGCTAGGTGTATCACTCTGTAGATTTGAGTTAGTAGCCCAGGAGGCAGTGGTACATCATGGCTAGACAACACCATGTTACACAATTGTCTGTAGGCAAACAGTTTACCTGATCACTGAAGATGAGTGCTATGTGTATGACTCTGTAGATTTGAGTCAGTAGCCCAGGGGGCAGTGGTAGATCATGGCTAGACAGCACCATGTTACACAATAGTCAGTAGGCAAACAGTTTACCTGAACACTGAAAATGAGTGCTATGCGTATGACTCTGTAGATTTGAGTTAGAAGCCCAGGAGGCAGTGGTAGATCATGGGTAGACAACACCATATTCCACAATAGTCAGTAGGCAAACAGTTTACCTGAACACTGAAAATGAGGGCTATGTGTATGACTCTGTAGATTTGAGTTAGTAGCCCAGGAGGCAGTGGTACATCATGGCTAGACAACACCATGTTACACAATAGTCAGTAGGCAAACAGTTTTACCTGATCACTACAGGTGAGTGCTAGGTGTATGACTCTGTAGAACTGAGTTAGTAGCCCAGGGGGCAGTGGTAGATCATGGCTAGACAACACCATGTTACACAATAGTCTGTAGGCAAACAGCTTCCCTCTATTGAAGGCATCTGGTAGAGTTAATGCCTGGAAAATAAAACAACTTTTCTTATCTTATAAAAACTACAAAAAAAAATAATATCACAAAGAAAAACTGAAAATACTTCATACCATCACAAAAACAATTTGTCGGTTATTCTATCTTTGTATATGTAAATGCCGGAATAGAGCATCCTAATCAGGTCTTTGACCTAGGGATGAATTGATTAAATATCTAAGTACAAGTAGTGTGTAACAATTTACTTACCCACCTTAATCTTAGTTTATCTAAATACACTCCGTGTAATTTCTGTAAATACTTTGTGAAACAATAATGAATTCTGATCAAACAGGAATGAATATATCTTGATTATTTAATGTTGATTTATTTGAGTTAACCTATCAGATTTAAGTAGGCCTAATTAGGCTACCTCTTTATCTTTTTAATTATTTTACCATTAAAATAGTCTAAACCCTCGATTAGGTCATATTTTAGCCAAATGCCTGAAAACTGTTTTTTTTTTTCTGAGGGTATAGATTAGTAAGCTGTTCCGGGAAATATAGCTTGCCAAGGGCTTATAGATTTGCAATATAAAATCAAACAACATAACACTTATATTTGATCCTAGTGTAGGACTTCTTTAGAAAGTCGATTGAAGAAAAACTATTTTTACAATCTTCTCTTTTCAAAATTCTTATTCTAGGATGATACCAGTGCTTTGTTATATGATCTTTTATCGTACGTATCTGGAAGCCCCTGGGTTAAAAATTTCCAAGGTAGGCTAGTTGAGCTATATCGCTAAAAATACTAGGTATGCCAATTGAGCGGAGTGAGCATTAGGGTTGGACGAGTAGGGCTACTCGACTTTCGAGTAATTACTCAACTTTTAAAAAATACTCGACCTCGAGACGAGTAGTTATAAAAAGTGCAACTTCATGATTTTTTACGTCTGTATTTAATAAATGATATTTGTTTTTGTGTTTATGTCTTATTATTTAATCCCTATTCCTACAAAAAACTACTCTTCATATATAGGCTAGTTCAGCGTAAACCAAATGTTCAACAAACAACCATCGTCATTCGGCAGAGCTAGCAAGAGGACTACCACTACTTTTACTTTACTACAACAGTTAAACAATACGTCTCGATAACGAAATGGTTATAAGCCAAATTTGTTAGTGTTTAAGAAGTAGGAAATATATTTTTGTACACTTAACCCTTCACCGACGGATGACGGATATATCCGCCTAAGTCTTTGGCGATAAAGGACAGGTGGCGGACATATCCGCTTATGGTTTTTGATGTTCCGGATGGGAAGCGGATATATCCGCTTTCTCTTCAGACAGACTGGCAGGTACTTGAGCAGTAACTATATGTGGAGCAGCAAGTTTCATTGGTGGAGTCATAGCGTACGGTGTTGTTAGTGTTCCATTGTGTGAGTTTTTTGTACGTAAACCTTTTATAGATTATAGTGTTTTGTGATTTGTTATTAATTGCATGTTGTATCATGACTTGACTGCTATACAGTGCATATTTTTTGACTACTACCCTCGGTAGTGTATTCCAACTTAGGTTGGGCGTTTGTGTATTGTTAGTTGTAATGTGTTAGTTAAGTTTTTTCACCTGAAGACGGGATCAGATTCCAGATCCCGAAACGTTGTGTATTGTTTTTTACTTTCGTGATGGAAAATGTCCGCAATGAACCTTTGAACAACATTAACTCACCATCACCAACAATGAACTTCAAACAAAGGATAATATATGCTTGGAGGATTTCCTAAAAAACCTAACAACTTTTCAAAATGAAACAGGAGCAAAAGTCACCATTGTGTCGTACTTCCAAAAGTCATTGAAAAAGTTAAGAAAAGGTTTATCACACGATGAATTTAACAACCAAATAAAGACTTTTATCCATGGGCATCAACTGAATCAAGAGAAAGAGACAATGAACAGCTCGTCTGATGCAAGGAAAGAAAACTGTGACACTGTCACACCACCTATGATGGCAACCTGTACCTCTCCTGCCTCGGAACCTACGGACGACACTGCGACTCTGTCTGTCCAGCCTACACTGACATCAATGGAGGAACCACAGAATGGAGAAGTTATAAGTGTAGTGCCCGGCGACCTCACGTTTTGTGAGGCGCTAAAGCAGAGTAAAAGTGAGAGTGCTAAAAGTGTTGTTAAAGGGAAACCATCAGCGAGCGCCATATCTGAAGTTGCTCAAAATATTAATCAGGAGGTTGGGGCTTTAACCCTTCCCGGACGGGCGAAATCATGACATAGGACGGGAAAAAATTAGAGGAAAAAATAAAAATTAATTTTTCATATTTATGTTTTGTTATACATGTATACATAAAATAAACACAGTGGAACACATTATACTGTCAAAATAATTTTTTTACTCGTTTTTAATTATGCGGATATATCCGCTACCCGTCCGCAGATGAGTAGAAATGCAGCGGATATATCCGCCACCCGTCTTTGAAGATATGACCATGACAACGTTAGGCAATGAATAAAGAACAATATGTAAGCAATAAATAAAGACAACGTAATGTTGAGCGCGAAACGTCGAGGGGGGGAGCGTAGGAGTGGTGGTAGGTGCGCGGGAGGGGGTGAGGCGCAGGAGAGGGGTTGGCGCGGGAGAGAGGGGGAGTGCGGGGGAGAGCGCAGTCATGGAAAGAGCAGGAAAGTGGTGCCTTGGTACCGCGAAACTTCTGGTTACTGCTCAAGCACCTGCCAGTCTGTCTGAAGAGAAGGCGGATATAACCGCTTCCCGTCCGGAACATCAAAAACCATATGCGGATATATCCGTCACCCGTCCTTTATCGCCAAAGACTTAGGCGGATATATCCGTCACCCGTCCGCGAAGGGTTTAAACTCCCAGCAGACAGTTGTAAGAGATCCAATATAATAAACAGTAAAGGGGCTATTCTTTCAATATATCACCAGAACATAATAATCCACTTGCTAGGGGGGTTCCTGTGTGCATTTTATGTATAGAAAAACACCCTAAGGGATCATGTAGGTACTATGTGGGTTATCATTTTTCACGTGGGTGCCAGCTTGGCAGAGTGGGCATAACCTCAGAATCCGCCATTTTAAAAATGGCGGCGGCATTTATTACATGAAACTCATTAGGAGCTTATATCTCGAAAACGGTAATATATAGCGAGTTACTTTTATAACAATAAATGTAGCTTACACAATAAGGAAAAACTTTTGTATTTACAAAAATGCCCTAAATATAACTATTTAGGAGTAATTGAGCAATTTATGTTAATTTGATCTATACATTTTTACTCTGTTTGAAAAAAAATTCTAATATCTTTAAAAAAATAAAAAAACTGTTTTTTAAATTTGGCACATAGCACTAATTGCTCTTTACATCTAAGGTCTAAATACCCCCGTCGCAGCAAACCTGCAGAATCAGCAAACATTTACCTGGCTGCATTTCTACTAAAATATTAAAATTGATCGATTGATTTCCTATTTAAATGACATTGATTTGTAATGAGTACTTACGTTTGCTGCTTCAGGGAAGGTATTTAGGTGTTTTTTATATATTTTTATTGAAATGTTGATACCTTAGTATGAATGAAACAAAATTTTTGAAATTTGACTATAATATATCCATAAACAAGCAAACTAAAACAGTTTATTTATTCTCCATAAGAATAACATGGGAATTTTAAACTTAAAATTTTTTTAAAATTATTTCCGTAACTTTTGGGCATACAACGCTTCAATATACAAAGTTATTTATTTTTTGAGCTCTACAAAATGTTTTCGTTCATTATAAAATGTCGTGTTTTTAGGGTCGAAAATCGGAAAAATCCATTTTTACCCCATTAAACTCCCCATAAACCCCCGTTCCCATAGTCCGATCGTGCTGGTATAATAGTCCGAATTCGTCTGAAAACGTAGGTTTACACGTTTGTGATAAATTTAATCGAAATTGGATCATTTTTGCTCGAGTTATCAAATTAAGTCGTAGTTCTGTCTTCGGATACAGATGTCGTAGTGTTGGCTTTACACTTTATGAATGGATTCACTTCGGAAGGTTTGCAGGATTTGTGGATGCGACTTGGTACAGCCAGAACTTCATGATATACATTATAGCAAACAGGCTTGGAAGTAACCTTTGCTCAGTTCTCTCAGCACTCCATATTTTAACGGGCTGTGACTTTGCCAGCAAATTTGGAACAAAGCGTGCTACCCTAAAATGTAATCCAAGTACAGTACTTTGCTAATGGACTTTGGAAAAGATGAGGAGGAAGAGATAGAATAAAGTTTGAAAAACACAGTGAAGTATCTAGTTCACATTAAAAAAAAGGATACTCAGTGTGAAACTATGATTGATCTAAGACACTGGATATACTTACACTGTCACTGTACAAAGAATATCCTTAGCTCGTAAAGATTTTCTGTCTGGTAGAGCTACTATACAGCATATCTTACGTGCTTTTTATTGTAGCCTACATACATCCAAATCCATTGCATGGAAGAACACGTTTTTCAACTCGATCCTTTGAGTTTTGGACACAGTGATGGTGGTTACTCTTTGCCGCAATGCTCACAAGTATATTGTGAACAGTTTAATTTTTCTGATGACTATAAAAGGGAACAGATATAATTCCTCTTAACCCAAAAGGCTTATAATTTAGATCCAATAACTGCGCTCAAATTTTATGATCCACGAAACTAGTTCAATATCAATACAATCAGTCCAAAGCAGCCTACCACCAAGGACAATGTCAAGGTACTGGTTGTGTTAACGCGACGTCAATGCTTGGCCGATGCACCAACTTAGCCGCCGGTCCCGTTCCCGCTCCATCGCCGTTTTAATAATAAATGTTATGAATTATAATAATAATTTCTATTACATCCGTAGATTTATTATTATTTGTAATAATAAAAATTCAGTATATAGAAAGGTTTATATTTATTTTTATATTTGTATGCGTCATTTAATAACAAAAAATTAATTTAAAAATATGTTATATTATTTTAATAGCTTATATATCTGCCAGAAGCTTCTCGAATGCTTTTTGCAGGTTTTTTACCCTAAATGCGAAGAAATAATTTTTGCTATGTGCCAAATTACAAAATAACAGCTTTTTTTATAATTATTTGATTTTTTTGGCAACAGAGATCAAATGTATAGGTTAAATACTATGAATATGACAATTTTAATATTTTAGTAGAAACTAGCTGTGTACCCGTTCTACGCACGGGGATCTTATAATATTCAGTTGAAACCTTCTTATATAAAGAACAGCAGTTGGTTTGCATATTTTAAGATATGCTGGCCAAACTATTATACATAGCTTCATTTTATGTTGTTTTTTGTTGTTCCGGATCGGTATGACAATCAATAAAAGGTTAAATTACCTCTGTGTCTGCCGGTCGATCCTATAACGGTAGGCTTACTTTTATTTTTACTATCTGATCTCGTTTGCATGGCTCAATCACGTCCTGGTTGAAGTTCGTTCGCTACGCTCACTCACCTGTATGTTGGAGCTCGTTCGCTGCGCTCACTTTCCTTCAGGTTAGCTCGTTCGCTACGCTCACTTGCCTTCAGGTTAGCTCGTTCGCTACGCTCACTCGCCTCCAGGTTGCAAATTAGCTGTTGTCATAAATGTAAAAGAAATAATAGTGCTAGTGCTGCACCCTGTTGGTAATCCTTGTAACTTTAATGCTATTGAACATCACAGAACAGAACCAACTTGTTTAATTGAAACAGCTGTTAAGATTCAATAATTTCATTTCTCATAAGGTTAACATGGGCTTCCAGAAATTCCACGTCAAAAATCGACAAAAACTTGATTTTCAAGGGCTTACTGTTAAATATCTAACTGTCTCATATTCGATGAAATACGTCTAAAACCATCTCATATATGTATAGTATTTGGAAAATAAGTTTCAGGCGGGACAGTGCTATAGTTATTGAGGAGTAGTTGTAATAAAGTGCGTATTTTAGCGTTACCAAGAGAATGACAGATAGACAGACAGACAGACAGACAGACAGACAGATAGAAATTGAGATAAGGTTTGATTCGGTTTCTCTGACCTATGAAATGTAAAAATAACCAAAAAGTTCATTATTCTAAGCAATGTACAGACAAAACTCTAATTTTATTTATATAGATGCAGCCAGGTAAATGTTTGCTTAGTCTGCAGGTTTGCTTCGGTGGGGGTATTTTGACCTTAAATATAAAGAGAAATAAGTGCTATGTGCAAAATTAAAAAGGAACAGTTTTTTAAAGATATTAGAATTTTTTGTCAAACAAAGTAAATATTTATAGGTTGAATTAACATAAATTGCTCAACTACTCCTAAATAGTTATATTTAGGGCATTTTTGTAAATACAAAAGTTTTTCCTTATTGTGTAAGCAACATTTATTGTTATAAAAGTAACTCGCTATATATTACCGTTTTCGAGATATAAGCTCCTAATGAGTTTCATGTAATAAATGCCGCCGCCATTTTTAAAATGGCGGATTCTGAGGTTATGCCCACTCTGCCAAGCTGGCACCCACGTGAAAAATGATAACCCACATAGTACCTACATGATCCCTTAGGGTGTTTTTCTATACATAAAATGCACACAGGAACCCCCCTAGCAAGTGGATTATAAGGGGCTTACAATCTAAAATAGAATCCATGGAAATAACATTAGAAGAAATTAAACCAAATTTAATTGTGTTAACAGAACACCATATGTCAGAAGTAGAATTTAATAACTTAAAGTTGAATAACTACAATGTCTGTAATTACTATTCCAGAAAATCAACTATTGGGGGTGGAGTTGCAATACTGTCTGATGGGAGTTTTAAGTGGAGACCGTTGGTAATTCAACAGTTACATGATTTATGTCTGGACAAGATGTTTGAGTGTTGCCTAGCTTTAGTGAAATGTAAAAAGTTAAAATTTGTTTTAATGGGTATATACAGATCACCATGCTGTAGCTATTTAGAATTTAATGATAGGGTGGACTTAGCAATTCAAATAGTTCTTAAAAATCATAAAAATGTAACCATAGCGGGGGATTTTAATATTAACATTTTGGAGAGTGGGAAACCTAAGAGGGAATTTGTAAATGTGTTAAAACAGTATGGTCTGAGGTACTACGTCAACTTTCCCACTCGGGTAACAGAAGAGACCAGCACAGGTATTGACAATGTAATAACTAATATAAACTGTGATAGAGTAGTAGTTGAGGGAATTGTGACTGCTCTCTCTGACCATGACGGGCAAATACTAAATATATTAGTAGATGAAAATAGTAAGAAACATAATAACTTTACTATAAAGTACAAACGGACCTTTTCACAAAAAAATCTGGAAATATTCAAAAACTATTTGGGAATGGAAGACTGGTATGATGTCTATTATGCAAATGTTGAGGATAAGTTCAATGCTTTCTTCAAAACTTTTATGTATTATTTCAATCTTATATTTCCTAAGACAAAAACTAGAATAAAAACTTACAATAATAACAATTGGATCACAGATTCTCTAAAAGAAGAAAGAAAAGAAGTAATAAATTTATTTAAAATAGCAAGGCAAACAAAAAACAAAAATTTAAGTAATAAAGCTAAACAAGAAAATAAAAAATTTAAATCAAGGTTAACTGAAACAAAAAAGATTTTTTTGAAGAACAAAATTTCTAAATCAACCTGTATTGGAAAAACAACTTGGGGAATAATTAAATCAGAGACAGGGAAGGACAAGGGAAAAATTAATGAGAATATAAAACTGGTTGTAAATAATAATAAGCTAGGAAACCCATATGAAATAGCTACTGAATTTAATAAATATTTTATAGAATCTATGAATGATGTTAGCAGTAGTAACAGTTCAAATATTTGTAGTACTAATACATGTAAACAGAGTGATCAGTTGGATAAAGACAGCATCATTTCTAGACTGGTAGGCCCAAACAGTTTTAAGATTGAACCAATAGATAATAAAGAATGTATGGCAATAATTGATAGCTTAAAAAATAAGTTTTTCTGTGGGTACGATGAAGTACCAATAAAAGTGGTCAAGTTTATTGGCCCAGCAATATGCAAGGTGATGGTACATCTGATCAATTCATCCTTTGTCTCTGGAATTTTTCCACACAAACTAAAAATAGCCAAAGTAATACCAGCTCTAAAAAAAGGTGATCCTAAACAAATTTCAAATTATAGGCCCTTATCGTTGCTCCCAACTTTCTCAAAAATCTATGAAAGAGCCATGCACAAAAGGCTATTGGAATATTTAGAGACGGAGGGTTTTTTAGATGAATCTCAGCATGGTTTCCGCAAAGGGAGATCAACTGGGACTGCAACAGCAGAATTTGTGGAAACCATTCTAAATTCAATAGATAAAGGTGAAACATGTATTGGCATCTTTATGGACCTTAAAAAAGCATTTGACAGTGTTTGCCACAGTAAGTTGTTGGAAATTCTAAAGAATGTGGGAATTACCAACATTTCTTATAATTGGTTTCAGTCATATATAGAAAACAGAGCTCAATATGTAGAAGTAACACACTCTCACAAAAACAGTACAACAAAAATAACATCAAAACTTGAAAAAATAAAAACAGGTTTACCTCAAGGGTCAATTTTGGGGCCCTTATTGTTCATAATCTACATCAACGGTTTGAACCAAACACTAGTAAATCAAAGGGAGAGCAAAATAATTCTTTATGCAGATGATTCAAACTTAAAGATATCAGGAAAAAGATTGGAGGATATAGAATCCGTGGCAAACTCAGAACTCATTAATATCCAAAGGTTTTTAATTGAGCATAATTTATTTTTGAATATTTCTAAAACTAATTATATGAACTTTTCCACCAAAAACAAAACAATTGCTTTCCCCAACATAAAAATTGATAATACATCTTTAGAACCTGTTCGACAAACAACCTTTTTAGGCCTAAATATAGACAGAAGTCTCAGTTGGAACTCCCATGTTGAAAAAGTACTGGCAAAAATGAATTCGGGTGTGTCTGCTCTCAGGACATTAACAAATATTTGTGATCTGACAACTCTCAAATTGGTCTATTACGGTATGATTCATTCTCATTTAGCCTACAATATACATGTTTATGGAGCAACCAATATTAATAATCTGAATGAGATATTAAAACTACAAAAGAAATCAATCAGAATAATGCTAAATATGGAACAAACTGACCATGTTAAAGAAAATTTTAAAGAATTAAGAATTATGACGGTATTTAGTCTCTATGTATATGAAACTATTGTTTACTCAAAACAAAATCAAGAGCAATTTGAGACTGGTCAGTTGATCCACCATTATAATACAAGAAACAATAAAAAAATAAGGTTGCAAAGTCACCGATTAAAAATGTTTGAGAAAAAGCCAAATTATATGGGATCTAAATTTTTAAACAAAATTTCTACCATAATAGACACAAATCAAGAGTTTTCAAAATTTAAGAGAAAATTAAAAGAACACCTAGTTGAGAGAGCATTATACTCACTAGATGAGTTTTTAAATAATTAACGGCCTTAAATTTAATATTTGCCAACAGATGGTGTTTTTAACATCATTGTATGTATTGACAGAAATTGTAATATAAGGATTAGTTTTAAGAAGTGACGCATGTTCAATGTACTTACGCTACAAAACAATGAATAAAGAATGTTTTGACTTTGACTTTGACTTCTATGAAAACCCAAAGATTCACGACAACATTTTATATCGCTTGATTAATTTTCATGCCTGTTCTATAGAAAAATTCTTGATGATAAATAAAACAATGCTAATAAAATGCTAGCAGAGTATTTCCAAACCAGTAAGTATCTGAGAAAAATATAGACATTTTAATATGAAAATAAGAACCCAGCAGTCATCAATCTACATACAACTAGTAGATACAAACCAGTAATGTTGACACAACAATAAGCTTATATTAGTCAGTAACACATTAACAACTCTAGCAACAAGGCTACTAACTTGTGCAATGTGCATTCTTCGTATGTTTACCTGAAAGCACCATGGGGCAATCAGAGTGATGGGGGGGACCAGCTCAGGTAGAGGGGGAGTCGTCTGGTTGTCCCCCGGGACACCTTGGTTCAGCTTTATCTAGTTAATACAACAACAAAACATCAGCTTTGCATTTCAAAGTGGATTGAAAACCCCAATGAGCACTTTTATTAAGTTGACTAAATTAACATTTTTAAAGCTCAAATAATTTAAATATAATTTTCATCATAATTGACATAATCAATTACTTAACAACGAATAAAGGGCTGTACACCTGCGTATGAGCTGACGTTTGTTAAAAAACTGAAACAACAAACAGATACAGAACATTAATACCCCCGCCGCAGCAAACCTGCCGACTAAGCGAATTTCCATTTGTCTGAATTGATTTTTAATTAAATATATCTAAACAACATTAGGTTTAACGAGTACCTAGGTTTGCTGCTACAAGGAAACTAATAATGTGTGTTTTTTAGTAAGATATTGATAGCTTAGTATAAAATAAATAAATTTGCCAAGTTTGATCAAAATATATCCATAAACAAGCAAACTGCAACATTTTACAATATTCTCCATAAGAATAACATGGGAATTTTAAATTTAAATTTTTTTTAATTTTCTCCGTTACCAATAATCGAACAAAAATACTTTTATATACTAAATTATTTGTTTTTTTAAGCTCTTTAAAAAGGTCTAAAAAAAATTGGGAAATTTTGTGTTTTGAGGGTCAAAAGTGAGAAAAACCAATTTTTTACCCCATAAAACCCCCCGTAAAGCCCAGTTCCCATGGTCCGATCATGCTGGTTCGCGAACTCATTCAAGTTTATCCCGCTTTAGACCTTTAAACCAAATTTCATCAAAATCGGACAACAATTACTCAAGTTATCGCGTTTACGGACGTATATATATATATATATATATATATATATATATATATATATATATATATATATATATAAATTTGAATGAGTGGTGTTTTTGGCCTCTGGAGACATCAAAATGAAAAAGTAAATCGGTCCCGGGTCTAAGTCTTACCGTGCCACCTATGGTAATAGCTACTTCCCTATAGGGAAATTCGCTAAATACTTCCCTATAGGGAAATTCGCTAAAATAACATAATTCAGGTATTAAAAAAAATGGTTTTCATTAATTTATTGAACAAAAAATAGATAACAAAAAATACAAAACAACAAAAAATAGTAACTGTGTGTAGCGTATCATGTAGAATTAGTGGTTTAATCATGATCCCTGGCAAATCCATAACTTGTGTTGGTATGGTAATTTCAATGAATCATTTCCATAATGTAGATAACCAGTAAAGTACCTTAGCCAGAGTGTCGACAAGCTCAACTAGGTATTGGAAGACCTGAGCGTGTAGGTTTGGATCTCTGATGGAGTTAATGTCCCCCAAAGCCCCCAACATTCTGCGCCACAACACTACAGCCACATCAGGCAGCCAACCTCTCACCGAGCCACCAGACATTACTGAGCGTCTGTCTCCATCCACCAGGTCTGCAAACAACTTGACTGATTAAAATTAATTTCCATTCTAGCTCCTGAGCTGTTGTATTCAATATAATAAATAGGTTACATACCTTATAAATCCGACAAACAGCTCATTTTGTAAAGAAGGTTGTTTACATGTTTCGGCTTGTATCGGCCATTGTCAAAACATCGCAGTTGGATGGTGAAATCCTTGTCATTGTTTCTTACTAAAAGTACATACACAAACACACACACACACCGACGGGACGAAAACATTACGAACACGAAAATACTTTTAATAGGCCTATTATATAGAACACTGGCAGGACGCACGCACACCGTTGTCAAGGTCAGGATGCAGACTGAACTAGTTGTGCATTGTCGGTCTTGTCTTATCAGCTGATGTGGACTGCTGACCAATGGGCGTTGAGCTCTGCCTTTGTTTTAAGATGATTAAGATGTCCACATCAGCTGATAAGACAAGACCGACAATGCACAAATAGTTCAGTCTGCATCCTGACCTTGACAACGGTGTGCGTGCGTCCTGCCCGTGTTCTATATAATAGGCCTATTAAAAGTATGTTCGTTTTCGTAATGTTTTCGTCCCGTCGGTGTGTGTGTGTGTGTTTGTGTATGTACTTTTAGTAAGAAACAATGACAAGGATTTCACCATCCAACTGCGATGTTTTGACAATGGCCGATACAAGCCGAAACATGTAAACAACCTTCTTTACAAAATGAGCTGTTTGTCGGATTTATAAGGTATGTAACCTATTTATTATATTGACTGATTAGCTGATTAGTGAGCTTGCAGATTCAAAGCTCTTATAGTTAATGTCTTTTAAAGTTCCAACATTCTGTGCCACAACACCACAGCCACATCCACCAGGTCTGCAAACAACTTGACTGATTAGCTGATTAGTGAGCGTGCAGATTCGGAGCTCTTTTAGTTAATGTCTTTTAAAGTTCCAACATTCTGTGCCACAACACCACAGCCACATCCACCAGGTCTGCAAACAACTTGACTGATTAGCTGATTAGTGAGCTTGCAGATTCGAAGCTCTTATAGTTAATGTCTTTTAAAGTTCCAACATTCTGTGCCACAACACCACAGCCACATCCACCAGGTCTGCAAACAACTTGACTGATTAGCTGATTAGTGAGCTTGCAGATTCGGAGCTCTTATAGTTGATGTCTTGTAACGAGTTATTTATCCTAGGGGGGTAAATATTTGCTATTTGGCTGTGCACCTATTGTTGGCATCAACAAGTGGCGGCGGCGAACCTGGCTAGCGCCCTTTGACCCGGCTTATCAGTTCGGATTAACTTGGGTATCCTGGGACTACCGGATAGCGGAGAAGGACATTCAAGTCGTGGATGCCGAAGGGTTGGCGTGTGTCTAGGAGACGTCCAGAGATTTGGGTGACATCGGAGTACAGTGATACGAGTGACAGTGAGTGTCGGTGTTAAGTTGTTTGTTGAGACCCACTACTGGTGAGTTGACGACGTTCTTTTGATTTTGGTTAAGGAGTTGATATTATTAGTTTGATAATATTAATATCTGATTTTATTGCGAGAGTAAGAGTTGTAACCGTGCTGGTCAAAGCCTGACTGTAGTTAGGATTTATTTATTAGTCAGGAATAATATTAGGGTATATTCCTGACGGTTCTGGGCAGGTGCTAAAGCGCAAATAATATATTTTATTGACTGTAGTAGATATTATTTTGCGTTGTACCAAGAGTTAGTTACATTACTAATAACTCTGAGGCCCGACAAACCTAGGCTGCACAATTTAGCGTGCGTCGTTGGAAGCCCATGTCCAGTAGGCTAGTAGCTAATATTATTAGCCTATTAACAGAAGCCCAGCTAAGTAACGTAAAGTTGGTAGTAACAGTGGCAGTAGCAGTAATAGGGTTGTTGTTGATTAATCATTTGATCATCTTAATTTAACATGAACAGCTTGTTTAGTAATCCAACACGTTATCTCGGTAGCTTGGGTAGCGGAGTACCGGCTATCAATAAGTAGCTCAATAATTTAATAGTAGTGCAATTGACATCTAGTTTTGCTTGTTTAGCTTGGTATTTATTGAGACCAGCAACTAGAGGTGTAGTCACTCTGCCTATAGTATACTTGTATATTATTATATGGTATTATTATTGAGTGAACTGTTTTGGTGGTTAGCTTGGGCATGAGAATTTTGTATTGGATTATAGTGGTTTAGTAGACCCCGCCTGGTGATAACTCGCGTTGTGGTTTTATTGGCAAGTCGTCGTGTAACTCACTGTGTTTTAGGCAATCTGGGCTTAACTATTGGATAGTTAGGACGAAGCCCGAGTTGAGTAGTTAGCAACGACCCCCTAGGAGAGTGGAGAATCGGCATAGGCCTGGTGGTGATTATTGCACGTCTGTTTTAGTGACTTGTTATCGACTTGTTCACAGTGCCCGTGTATGAGCCATTCCTATACCGGTTAGACCCGGCTATTGGCATAGTGGTTTCCCTGACCTTATCGCAGACCCTGGAACTTTACCCAGCCATAGTAGGCTGAGCTATTCCCGGCAAACGATTGCGACTGCACTTTTAATTTTTTTTCCAGTGCGAGAAAGTAGCGTTGCAAGATGGCGCCCGAACAGGGACTGAGGTTGGCAGTGGTGCTGAGTTGCTGACGTATTAACGGCGCCCGAACAAAATAATTTTATTTGTGCAGATTTGCTGCGGACCTGAGCTGTTGAGCAGAATTTAGGCAGACCTGCTGTGATTTTATAGTCGGTTGGGTAGGCCTAACCTGTTTTCTATTACAGCGTGGTGTGTTAAGAACCCTAATTTATTTAGTGGTTGTATGGATAGATTTTAGTTAGTAATATTATTTTGCTAATTAATTGAGCTTTAGTGTTGAATATTATTTGAGTAAGAACCCTTATTGTGTATTTGTGGTTTGACTTTCACACCTATAATTGGTTTGATTTAATAGTACGGTGTTAAATACATTTTAATTGGTTTCGCTATTATTTTTGCGGATTTGTCGTGGTGTTTGAGTTTTTAATATGGTTGTTACTACAAGTACGACGTCTGTGCTGGGCGGTACGCCTATCACGTCTGCTATCGCTACGACTAGTTCTGGAGTTAGCTCCAAACTGTCGGTGTTGACGACATCGTCATTGTGGCCGGCGTCTTCGCCCGTTTGGCCGACTATTTCATCGGTACTGGCTACGACGGTGACAACTTCGTTGACATATTCCGCGCCAGCGACTATGTCCTTGGAGTCGCAGCCCCGGGACGGTCGTGTGGGTTGGATTTATGACCTCTCAAAAGGGGAGGTCATGAGGACGATGGACCAGTATGGTTTTTTGACCACTGGGACTTCTGCAGAATTACGGCAGAGATTCTCATCGTTTTGGAAGAAGCAGAATGCCCGTCGGTACAGCGATGATAGGCTATGTACGGCTGGGGCTACTGTGCCGACATATTTACTGCCGGCTACTACAACTGTGGGGTTTCCTGACCCCCCGAGAACCATACCTCAGGTACTGGGTAGTACTGATTCTGGCCAAATAGAGATAGTGGGACTTAGCAGGGAGTTGGAGGCGGTCAAAGAGATTCTTGGGTTGTCTTTGGAGACTGATACCCGGACTCTTCGAGAATATCTGGCATCGGTGGTGCGACAGGCGAGAGGCTTGCCGAGTAATGAGGTCGGCTATGGGTTCGAAAGACCCGCCAACCCTACGTCCCCTGTTGAGGCTGCTCCCATGCCTACCTTTGGGTTACCAAGTAGACCCGAGGGATGGCAGCGACCTAGTGATCATTCGGAGAGACCAGTCCGTCCTTCTAGCGTGGTGGTGCCACGTGGATCGGATAGGCTCTCGAATGAGGCCATCAGGGTGGAGCCGAAGGACTGCTCCAAAGTATTTACACGGTACGGAAGTGGGGTTTGAGGTTTGATGGCCGACGAGACCCAGTGTCATTCCTGGAGCGCCTAGAAGAGCTGATGGTGTCCTACTCCGTATCATCAGAGGACCTGCTCAGAGCGCTACCGGAGCTGCTGCAAGGTTCAGCACTTCTTTGGTACAGGAACTGCAAGGAGCTCCTGTATTCTTTTGAAGCTTTCCGACGTCAGTTTGAAATCCAGTTCTTCCCACCAGGATATTGGAGGAACTTGGATGAGGAGATCCGGAAAAGGACACAGGGTGAAGGCGAGCACTTCCAGGACTACGTTGTTGCCATAAGTACCTTGCTTAGGCGTAGCGGGACTTTGTCGGAGCTTGGTAGATTGGACCTGATCTACAGCAACATGCGTCCAGAGTACAAGCTGATGGTACGCTGGCGTGACTTCAGCAACCTTGCCGAGATGGTGGAGTTGGCTGAAGATTACGAGGCCTATCTGCGAGAGAAGGCAGCCTTCCGACCTCCACCTTCACCCAACGTAGCGCTGGTTTTAGAAACCGCCTATGTTCCCAAGAAGAAGGCTGAGAAGTGTTTTGAAACGGCCGCGGTTGAAAGACATAATTTTCAGAGACCATCTCTTGAGGCTAAGTCAATTGGGCAGCGAGTAGATTTTGACTCTAACCGGGTCCGTGAACAAAGGCCCGTAATGACTAGGAAAGTGGCAGATGGTGCAAAGGATGCATGGTGTTTTAGGAGCCAGGAGATTGGTCACTTTGCCAGAGGCTGTGGCAAACTGAGGACCGTCTCCTGTTTTGGATGTGGCAACCCCGGTTTGACGGTGAATCAGTGTGGATGTCGGGCGGGAAACGGCAGGCCAGCTCAGACATCAGGAGGTCAACTGGGCAAGGCCACCGAAAACGAACGACCTCAGAAGAGTGGTCCGAGTGGCTCGGAAAACTAGACAGCTTGGTTGGTGGAGTGGATGAGGACCGGCTGATTTCGGAGTCAAGGCCCTTTGTTGATGTTGTGCTGATGGGCAGCGTTTATAAGGCGTTATTGTACACTGGGTCCGTAGTTAACCTGGTTGGGCGCAAAGTCGCCAATCATCTTCAACGCCAGGGGGTAGAGCCTGTTAAGAAACCCACTCCTCTAAGGATGGCAGATTGGTCACGGTCGATTGGAGCCGAGTATTCGTTTCGGCTAGCAGGAGAAGCTGCGGGAAGACGGTGGATGGGAGATTAAGGATGGCAGATTGGTCACGGTCGATTGGAGCCGAGTATTCGTTTCGGCTAGCAGGAGAAGCTGCGGGAAGACGGTGGATGGGAGATGCCTTGTACCCCCACTCTCAACATAGACATGATTCTGAGTATGGATGTCATACGAGACCTCGGATTGGTGACATGTGGGACAGAGGTAGTAAAAATGGGCGTGGGTGATGACTGCTCTGGCCAAAGTGGCCGCATAGACAGTGTCAAGATTGGTGACGAAGACCCCGAAGGCCCTTGCAAAGGAAATCCCTGTCTGGTTCCTTATGCCAAATCATTCAGCACCATGTTGGCTGGTAGTGGCTAGTAGAAGAGTTTTTCTTTGTTTTGAGTTTGAGACCTATGGTGTAGGATTCGCCATTGGGTTAGGGGCTGGAGTATTTTGTTTTGGCCGGAGTTCAAAGATTTTTTTTCTTTTGGCCGTTTTCTTTTTTTCACCCCGATGCAAGTGGGGGATGTAACGAGTTATTTTTCCTAGGGGGGTAAATATTTGCTATTTGGCCGCGCACCTATAGTTGGCGTCAACAAGCGGCGGCGGCGAACCTGGCTAGCGCCCTTTGACCCGGCTTATCAGTTCGGATTAGCTTGGGTATCCTGGGACTACCGGATAGCGGAGAAGGACATTCAAGTCGTGGATGCCGAAGGGTTGGCGTGTGTCTAGTGAAACGTCCAGTGATTTGGGTGACATCGGAGTACAGTGATACGAGTGACAGTGAGTGTCGGTGTTAAGTTGGGTGTTGAGACCCACTACTGGTGAGTGGACGACGTTCTTTTGATTTTGGTTAAGGAGTTGATATTATTAGTTTGATAATATTAATATCTGATTTTATTGCGAGAGTTAGAGTTGTAACCGTGCTGGTCAAAGCCTGACGGTAGTTAGGATTTATTTATTAGTCAGGAATAATATTAAGGTATATTCCTGACGGTTCTGGGCAGGTGCTAAAGCGCAAATAATATATTTTATTGACTGTAGTAGATATTATTTTGCGTTGTACCAAGAGTTAGTTACATTACTAATAACTCTGAGGCCCGACAAACCTAGGCTGCACGATTTAGCGTGCGTTGTTGGAAGCACGTGTCCAGTAGGCTAGTAGCTAATATTATTAGCCCATTAACAGAAGCCCAGCTAAGTAACGTAAAGTTGGTAGTAACAGTGGCAGTAGCAGTAGTAGGGTTGTTGTTGATTAATCATTTGATTATCTTAATTTAACCTGAACAGCTTGTTTAGTAATCCAACACGTTATCTCGGTAGCTTGGGTAGCGGAGTACCGGCTATCAGATAATATATTTATCTAGTGTTTGGAACGTATTTAATATTTATTTATCTGCTACTAAGTAGCTCAATAATTTAATAGTAGTGCAATTGACATCTAGTTTTGCTTTGTTTAGCTTGGTATGAGAATTTTGTATTGGATTATAGTGGCCTAGTAGACCCCACCTGGTGATAACTCGCGTTGTGGTTTTATTGGCAAGTCGTCGTGTAACTTACTGTGTTTTAGGGAATCTGGGCTTAACTATTGGATAGTTAGGACGAAGCCCGAGTTGAGTAGTCAGCAACGACCCCCTAGGTGAGTGGAGAATCGGTGTAGGCCTGGTGGTGATTATTGCACGTCTGTTTTGGTGACTTGTTATCAACTTGTTCACAGTGCCCGTGTATGGGCCAGTCCTATACCGGTTAGACCCGGCTATTGGCCTAGTGGTTTCCCTGACCTTATTGCAGACCCTGGAACTTTACCCAGCCATAGTAGGCTGAGCTATCACCGGCAAACGATTGCGACTGCACTTTTAATTTTTCCCAGTGCGAGAAAGTAGCGTCGCTGTCTTTTAAAGTTCCAACATTCTGTGCCACAACACCACAGCCACATCCACCAGGTCTGCAAACAACTTGACTGATAAGCTGATTAGTGAGCTTGCAGATTCGAAGCTCTTATAGTTAATGTCTTTTAAAGTTCCAGGTGCCACAACACCACAGCCACATCCACAAGGCCTGCAAACAACTTTACTGATTAGCAGTCAATAGACAAACATATCAAGTTATAAATATGACTACAGATTACTTCAAAGAATAATAAGAAACTGTTATAATAAGTTTTATAGTAGTAGGCAGTGGCCAGTGGCGAATTTAATGTTCCTGACAAAAAATCTGTATGGAACAGAAGCAAAACCAATCTTGCCATGATACATTTTCAAACGGCTCGACCTTGAGTTCTCGTAAAAACTAAGCAGTAACTTGACACTTAAGCACTTCATCCATAAAAAACATGACTTCTTAGCAATTCTAGTATTTTTTCTAGGGTCCTGTCAGCTAAAAAGTTCAAAAAAATTTACATTATAAAATAACCTGAAGAAGTGGTTGAACATTTGACTTACCCATGTTAGTGCTATCTGAGTTCAGCATATCTATCTGCATTGGTGATTCCTTGAAAGAGTTGCTCTCCACACCACTAGAGGGGGCTGGAGAGGGAGATCTGCTCAACTCTCCATCAAAGAAGCCACTTGCGTCACCTGCTAGTTAACAAACATGCATTCAAACTCAGATTTTAATATGTTTCTATTTTTTTAAGTATTTTGTCATTTGTATTTGGACCACTAAAGTTCCTTAAATAAAATGTAAAGAAACAAGTAACAGATGATGTTACTACTTCTGGAATCACTGTACTAATTCAGGGGTGCCCACAAGGGGGGGCTGTGACGCAGACTGCGTCATTGAAATTCTTGGGGGGGGCTCAAAAAATTCAAATGGGGGGGGGGTGGCTAAAGCTAATTGCAACAGTGTTCAACGTGACGACAATCAAAAATATATTACACAGTCACCAGATAGAAAGTGGATTAATTAATGACAATAGTTATATTATTGAATTAAATTAGTTAAAATAGGATTTTAGGATAGTTTAGAATTCGTGTAGAAAGTTATTATTTAAGATTAGCAAGACGTGAGATCTAGAGGGAGCGCACGGGATGTACAGAACGCTTTGTTGACATAAAGCTCGTTAAAATACGTACAATCAAGTAGCATAGGCTACAATACTTAACAATATTGTGTAGATACTCGATTACCTGAGTTAATAGGGAGAGGGGGGGGGTAATGAAAAATACGGTTAATCCAATAAAAACAGATGACAAACTCATTAAAACGCTGTAAACAGCAAACAGCCATTAACGTCACGATTTGCTTTTTTATAAACGAAATTCAATAGCCTATTGCATAATCATTATTATTGTGCAATAACATTATTATTGTAAATTTCAAATCATTTATCTTGGTTCAGTTGTACAAACGGCAACGTTTAACATTTTAGCTAACTCAAACTCAACTAATCACTAGCCAAACATTGCGTTGCTATAAAAAACGTAAATATTAAAGGAACCTTTAGAAAGTGTTATAAGGTACTGCTCGTGATAGACAGATAGGCTACCGATAGGTGCTGTATCACAGCATAGGAATTGACAGATAAGTAATAAAAAAAGTGTAAAATTATATTTAGAGATAATTAAAACACTCTTAAAATACCCCCGCCGCAGCAAACCTGCCGTCTAAGCGAATTTCCATTTGGCCGAATTGATTTTCAATTGATCTATTTAAATAACATTAGGTTTAACGAGTACCTAGGTTTGCTGCTACAAGGAAACTAATAAAGTAGTGTGTTTTTAGTAAAATATTGATAGCTTACTATAAAATAAATAAATTTGCCAAGTTTGATCAAAATATATCCATAAACAAGCAAACTACAACATTTTACAATATTCTCCATAAGAATAACATGGGAATTTTAAATTTACCATTTTTTTAGTTTTCTCCGTAACCAATAACCGTACAAAAACACTTTGATATACTGAATTGTTTGTTTTTTTAAGCTCTTTAAGAAGGTTTAGAGAAAAATTGGGAAATTTTGTGTTTTGAGGGTAAAAAGTGAGAAAAACCAATTTTTACCCCATAAAACCCCCCATAAAACCCTGTTCCCATGGTCCGATCATGCTGGATCGCGAACTCATTCAAGTTTATCCCGCCTTACACCTTCAAACCAAATTTCATCAAAATCGGATAAAAATTACTCAAGTTATCGTGTTCACGGACACATATATATATATATATATAAATCTATATATATATATATATATATATACATATATAAAAATTTGAATGAATGGTGTTTTTGGCCTCTGGGGACATTAAAATGAAAAAGTAAATCGGTCCCGGGCCTAAGTCTTACCATGAGACCTACGGTAATAGCTACTTCCCTATAGGGAAATTCGCTAAAAGAATGTAACGAGAACAATCTCGTAATTCTTTTTCTTTGTTCTTCTGTTCTTTAATTGGTTTCTCTTCAATTCATACACAAATTCAACAAGTCGCCATATTTAGGCCTACTCATCGGCCAATCACAACCTTACTTAAGTTACCATGGTTACTAATATTTCACTCAATCACAGTTAACTAAGCATTATGATTTATCTATGATTATATCGTCATCATTCATTCCCCAGCTGTTGTATCTCAAATCTGTTGTAACATAGCGCACAGCAGACATAAAACGGAGCAGACGATTATTGGCGCAAGCGTTGTTTCCATTTAATTTTCATCAAAGGAGCTTGTGATGTTTCTAAAGGGAGGGAGAGGGCATCGTTATATCGAGAAAGACGCTGACAATTCGTTAAGCAGAGGTTACGAACGCTATATGGATATTCTGGCAATAAAGAATTCCTTAAATTGAGGTGACTTATAAAACTCTAATTTTATTTATATAGAAAGATAAATTTTCCAGTCCTGTACAACACTAAATCACGGTCTTTTCCCTGTAATCAAAATTCAAGTACAACTTGATACACACAGAATCTCCGGTTCCCGACCTGGATGATGGCTAGTTATTTAATTTAATTTACAGTTACATATTAGTACCCGTGATAAATGAAACCCGTTGTGTAAGCCAAAGCCACACGGTTATTAATATCACTTGGTTTTGGATTTGCTTACAAACGTGATCGGAAATGGTTACAAACGTGATCGGAAATGGTTAGGGCCTACACAGTATTCGTAAACAACATTTATGTAAACATATCAGTTCAGCTAGGAAAAGGAATCTTTATCAAAACGGCTGTTCGTAATATCATATATGACGTGTTCTCTTAACAGATTATTAGTATTTCATTAATTAATGACGTATGTAGTAAACATGGAGAAAATAAACTAGAAAAATCACACAAAATTGTGTTTTTGATCGTCCGTTATTTTATTTCCAAAATAGTGAGGCCATATTTTAATGGCTATAAGGACTCTCTCGCCAATCCTGTGGATTCAATTAAACCATTAGAATTGTAATCGGTACTTTAGTTTTCTTTAGAGTAGACTGCATAAAAGGCCTTCTGGGCCGTGACAGACGGACATAAATTGAGATAAGACATGTTTCAACTTCTTCAATGTATAGAACATAAATAACCCAAAATATGTATAATTCTGAGCAGTGTACAGACTAAACTATAACTTTATTTATATAGATTAACTGGGTTTGAATTTTAAATATCTAAAAAAAATTATAAAACTTCTTTTATAGTTTTACAAATGTGCTGGGCGGGGGAATAATGTTTCTCATTTGTTGTGTACATCATTTATGGTGGGGGGGGGGGCTGTTGCTCAATTGGGGGGGGGGGTGCGTCATGAGTCTAGGGGGGGATGGGCACCCCTGACTAATTGGTAGAACTGCTAAATTTTCTTTTTTGAAAGCATTCTGTTATATGGTCTTATTGTCTGGAGTAACGGAGTAAGCATAGAAAATGTATTACTTTTACAGAAGACAATAGTTCAAATTCTAACTAATTCCAATAGTCTGGAGCATTGTTAACACTTTTTTATGTAAAGCTATCCTTCATAATTTTTTTTTACTTTTGTAGTGAAAAGTTGAAAAATGACATGTCTTATTAAATGTATTCAATTTTTGTTTGGTTTAAGCAAAGTAGAAGGGTCGGCAGAAGTTTTTTGGGAAAGTGATGTAACAAATATAGCCTACCTTGAGTGGATTATTAGAAACATTGGAAAATGAACAGTATTCAATATTTAGTATTTATAAAATATAGTTAAATAACTTCTTGATCAGAATCTTAGGTGTTATTAAATTACCTGAAAGTACAAAAATATGTCATAACACTTGTATTGATTGGAGTGTCCAATCAAAATCGATCACTAATTATCATCTTATATGTATTTACCGACTTGTGAGTAAACAGTATAAGTGTAAATATATTATTACAAAGTGTTATTTGACGTATTTTTGTACTTTCAGGAAAATATAGTTATAGTTGAAAAGCTTTCATTATAGATAAAAATAACACTTTCTTAGAAACTCTTAAAGACAGAAATATTGACATTGTAATTAATTTCAGAAACTCCTTATATTCAAACACTGTCATAAATATTTAACTGGAAGTTAGTTGTTTGCATTATAATAAGGTCTACCTGTTCATTTTAATACAAACACTCATGATTAAAAAACTAGAGGTTTAAAAGCACGTTTCATACATTCAGAATTTAATTTAGTATAGCCTATTGTACATTTATCGCAAATCCAACCCGACTATAATCTGAAATTGCGCACTAACGTGACCATCTCCAATGATCAAGGTGACGTCGTAATCATCACCTATATTTGAGGTAACATCATAGGTTTTTTCATGTCGTAAAAAGATTAGTCCACAAACAAATAGGCTAGATTTGCCATTTGCTGATTGTGGCAATATTGTGAATTTTTGGTTGCAAAAACTTAGCAGACATTTCCTGAGGTCGTAATATTAGAGCATTTATTCACACCGAAAGTAATCCCAAAATTATTCAAATCCCTATGTGAAAATCGAAAATAACAATTACCCAAACATTTGGAATTTTAACATCCCTAGTTTAAAGGTAGCCTAGTTTGTTGAATTGTGAACATAACATGCTGAAAGTATTTTGATGTATGCCTACTACCCAGCATCTTGATACCCACATGGTAATTTAGTGAAAAATTACGGGTCCGGATAAGAACAAACCTTATTAATGTTTGATCTCTTCTTGTGACCGACCAAAAAATTGTCCCACCACCCACCAGTGGTTTGCGACCAATAATTTAGGAACTGCTGCTCTAGAAGAATATCTTTTACAGTTATTTTTTGTTTTATAAAGACTTGTTTTATAAAGTATAATGTAAAATTACGAAATAAAGTATTTTGATTTGATTGATTCACTTTCATTTGAATGAATCAGAATTAACCACAAAAAATAATTTTAAGAAACACAACTTTTGGTACATTGGTCAAACTAGAAGATTCTTCCTCCCACGGAGGTATATCAATTCAACAAGTAACTAAAACTAAATTTCACCTGAAAGGTGCATGATGGAGTCCATGGAACGTGATCTTCCATTTAACTTTGATCTTGGTCTGGCTCCAGCAATGATTCTTGCCACTTCTTGTTCCACTCCCAATGATAATACTGAGAAATTTGAACAAACATTTACACTCAAAAATATGATAAACACAAGACAAAATGGTAAAGTTTGATCAATACATAGGCACTTGTAGAGATTATTTAATGTTAAGTTACCTGGGATATGAGTGGTGTTGGTGTTGGAGGAGTGGTGATGGTGATGGTGTCGTCTGCAGGACCGTCGTCTCCTAGCCCAGCTGATGGTTGACTCACTACACGTCCTCCGCAACACAGGCCAAGACTCACAGCTCTTCATTGTCACTGACACATTCCCTGAACACAACACAACCCTCATGCATTACAATCAGCTATAAAAGTAAAAATCGTTATCTTATAATTATGAATGTGTCGATTCTCAATACCACTGTCCGTTACTTGACCGTTGGTATCGGTATTAAGAATCGATTGGTCAGGACTGCACGATCGGAAAATTCCGCTATTTCTGCGATAGCGCAAAATGACGATTAAGTTTCCTTGACCGCAGTAGACGATGATGACGTCTGACGTCCACACAGCCGCGGGAGATGTTCATGATTTTGCCACGATCAGGGACAATGATGTTCCCGCGACTGCGGGTGACATTCATGATTTTGCTGTGATCGCGGACGATGTCGATGACGTTCCCATGACCGTGGGAGATGATAATGACGTCTGCACGACCAAGGCTGGTTTTCATGATTTTGCCCCATCGTGGACAACGACAATGACGTTTTCAGGACTGCCAGAGTCAAAGATGATTAATGATTTTGCCATGGAAGCGGGAGATTATGGTGACGTTTTCACGGCCGAGGGATAAGTTCATGACTTTGACGACGATGTTTTCGTGACCACGGGAGTTGATGATGATGATGACTACACAGTCGCAGGAGATGTTCATGAGTTTTCTGCGATCGCGAAAGACGACCATAATGTTTCCGTAATTGAGGAAAATATTTTAGATTTTGCAGAGGTCCCAGAAGACGAATGTAGTGTACTAGCTGGTGTTATTATCATATGTTTTAATAATATTAATCAATTGTCGAGATGTTTACAGTTCAGTTGTTTGTTTAGTCAAATGAAATACACATCAATTTCTCAAAATATGTCTAAACAGTTTTTTCTTATAATATAATAAACCACAACACTACAATGGCGCAGTCGAAAAATATTGATTAAGTATAGCTCATTTGACGGGACGACCGAAGATTGGATTTACTGGTTTGAATGTTTGAAGATCAGATAAAGAAACAAAAACATCAAGAAGGAAGACAAGAAACGAGACATTTTACTAGGACACTTAGGCCACAACCTTTCAAAATAGTATTCGACTCAGTGCATCCTACACCTGTAAGTAAGTAATATTGGATTTAATGAGGCCATAGCAATCTTAGAAAAATAAATACTACACCAAACAAAACGCTCCTCTTTCACAAAGAGTCATCTTTTCATGTAGATTCAGACAGGAAGGTGAATCTGTAAACCAGTTTGAACTAGCCTTAAGGTCTCTAGCCGGACACTGTGCTTTTGGTGATGGTCTGGATGAACGCTTAAGGGATCAGTTCATCCTTGGAATTAACAATGATAAATGGCAGTTTGAACTTTTAAGACTTCACGCATCTACAAACACGTCTTTTTCCAGCGTTGTCGAGTCAGCAAACTATTTGGATCATCAACGGTACTCTAGTTTTCTAAAGGTAGGACACGTGAATTGGAATTTTGGCGTTACAGACACAATGACAGAAACAATCAAACAAACGTACAGATATTGACATAAGACTCGGTTCGGCTTTCTTATTATATAACACGTAGAAATAACCAAACACTTCATGAGTCTACGCAATGTACAGGCAAAACAGTAAAGACAGTAACCTTATAATTAACTATAGTGTTTCTGCCCGTGCTTCGCAACGGGGTGAGAATCTTTGGGTCTCTAAATCCACCGTAAAAAATAGTATATTTCGTACCTAGGGCCAAAAGTGACGTTTTGCCGACTTGAGATCGGGTTTTAAGTTTGAGACGAAGTTGTGAACGTGAAACGACCGAGAGCTGCAAACCCATTTTGGCTCGTGGTACGAACGCTATTTTTCACCCAAGTATGTTTTGCAATATAACGTCCCTCTTATTTATGTGAAATATTTTGAGGAATCAGCAAAATCAAAAATAACAATAAATAGTTGTCTAGACAGCTGTGACAAAAAAACAAGTCTATTGCAATGCCATGGATACAGCTTGTGCATTTAATATACATTAATGTTTTAAGTAAATAAGCGAACAAGTGATTTTGCGGCCCTAGGGATGTAAAAGCCTGCTCGGCCCCTATATGACGATGACAACTGGCATGGCCAGCAAAACATAACATTCAGCCACCAATTAACGTATGTAAAACAGCTAAAACATCATAGTGTGGTGAAAAATTCGTTACACATACTTTTACATTACCATGAATTAATTATATGCATACAGAAAAAAAGGAGTCATACTTATTGTGTATTTTTATGTAAATTTCTTGTATATTCCCATGAAACTGATAATTTACCCAGCACATTAAGGCCTTTAATCCAAGTATCTAAGTTCGTAAACCATACATATAATGTGACGATAAAATATCAACGACATAGCATTTGGTCCATTGACGTTAAATCCATTAATTGTCAAAATTATTGGAGCTTGGAAAAAACTGCATGTAAAAAAAAATTGTTACACTAATAAAAGACGACGTGAGGAGCGCGGGCAATCGCAATGAGCTACAGCGGCTAGGACATAGCCACATGAATACAGAACGGAATGAAGGAACTAGAACGGAGAACTGGCAACAGCGCACGCGAGAAGTAGGGGGTGCGAACACACCGCTCAAGCGCTACAACGCATTAGTGGCATCCTGTCCACACACTGTTGATATATACCGATTTCTACCACCTTCCTTCATCCACTGTTGGCCGCAGTTTGAAAGATGCCACAATTAGGTGTTTGCGAGTATTCGGTAAAACCCCGTATGTGTGTGTGTGTGTGTGTGTTTGTGTGTCCGTTAGCATGATAACTCAAGCAAAAATGATCTGATTTTGATGAAATTTGGTATAAACGTGTATACCTACATTTATTCGAATGAGTTCGCGAACCAGCATGATCGGACTATGGGAACTGGGGTTTGTGGGGGATAAAGATTGGTTTTTCCAATTCTTGACCCAAAAAACATAAAATTTAGCAATTTCTTTCCAAACCATTTTGTAGAGCTTAAAAAAAAATTCTAGTATATCGAAGCGTTATTATGCGCCTAATGGTTACGGATAAAATTTCAAAAAATTTTAAATTTAAAATTCCTATGTTATTCTTATGGAGAATAAGTAAACTGATGTTAGTTTGTTTATGAACATATTTTGATCAAATTTGGAAAATGCATTTATTTCTTACTAAACTATTAACATAAAAAACAATTTTACCCTGTTGCAGCAAACCTAAGTACTCGTTAAACTAATTATATTTAAATAAGGAATAAATGTGATATTTTAAAGGAGACATTTTAGTGTAAATCCAATTAGGCAAATGGAAATTCGCTTAGTCTGCAGGTTTGCTGCTGCAGAGGTATTTGTAATTTATGTCAAAATGTATCAAAACCCGGTTTATAGACATTGTCCACCACACAAACCTCAACTCCTATAGAAGGTGACCACCGCTATAACTACAGTCCACTCTACAGATGGCATATGCAGGGTTGACTTTGAGATTGTACCTGAGTCTGTGGTGGTGTCAGTGTCGGTGTTGGTGGTGTGCTTGTGTTGCTCTGTATCTCGAGGCTGGCCTGCAGAGCCTCGAGGACCTGAGCCACTTCGTCTCTGCCGCTTGGTCTTCTGTTCACTCAGTCTATCCAGTGGCAAGTCATTGAGGTCCAGGTTGTAAACATGACGGGCAAGAACTCTTGTCAACGTGTCCAGAGTTTTCTGAAACAATGAAATATCAATTGAATTACATGGAAAATAATGACAATTTTATTTTCCTACAGTTACCTAACAATGTGCATGTTCTCTCAATGATTTGAGATAGCAAAGTGGCCAATTCGCTCATCACTTCAATCAATCAATTCACTCTAATTACTTTGTCTCACTCCAGATTTGCAACGTGAAGGCACAAAATAGTGAGCGCGTAACATGCAGACAAGGTCGTATGCGCGCGAAATACGTTGGCAGCACTGGCTGTAAATCAGCTGGTCAGCTGTCGTACTGTTGTATCATTAAATGTCATATTAAAAGTTCACTTCTGTGTAAAAATATGTTAGGTTTCTTTACCAATTTATTTGTTTTATGGTAACTGTAGAAAAAATATAATGTGCAACTTGAGTGCAAAGTGCAATTGCTCACTAGTTGCACAAATAACTATTATTAACCTTTAAGTATTTAAGTTTGTGACATAGCAATAAAGCAATTGTGACACTTTTAGGGATGGGCGAGTACTCGAATTTCAAGTAATTGCTCGACTTTTTCCAAATACTCGACCTCGAGTCGAGGAGTAAATACTACTAGAACATTCGAGCCGAGTTATAAAATAAGTTATAAAAAGTGCCACTTCAAGATTTTCTACGGCCCGTATTTAATAAATGATATTTTTTTTGTATTGATGTCTTATTTAATCCCCATTCCTAAAAAAAAACGACCATTTATCTTAATATATAGACTAGTAAATCAAATGTTCAACAAACAACCATCCATATCGTCATTCGGCAGAGCTAACAAGAGGACTAACTACTTTCCTCCAACAGCCAACAATACTTCTCGATAACGATACGGTAAGTGACACCAAATAAAGAATTGGATGAATCTGTCATCTATCGAGTTACAGTAGTCGATAGTCAACAAGGGAGTCTCGTGATTAGTAAATCATAGGCAGATGATTCTTGAAGATATTATAAAGTACAGTATTAGATAAAGTTTAAATTGCCATCAAAATATTTTTTACTAAAATATATTAAACAACAAATAAAAATAAACTATTATTGCATTGTATTTTTTCACTTTCATCGGTATTGGTGTAGTTTTCGAAGCCGATAAGTTACTGCAAGGAACATCGATGCATCGGAATGACACAATCTCATTGAGTCTTGGCAGAAAGCCAGAAAGAATCAGTTCCACTTCAGTGTGATTGAAGTGTTGCCAGATGGGCAATAATAATTTTTGTACTTTTACAACTGTGATGGTGGCGTAAACAAAGTATAAGTATCATTTTCTTATTAGTTTACATAAACATGATTTAAATTAGCCAAACTATTAACTTTTGTTTACAAATTAAAAGCTATAGCAATTTTATGATAATCATGCCGACATTCACCATAATGATGTAATGATAAAAACGGCAACGTCAGCCCTGCAAAACATCTGTTTGATGGGAATACAAAGCAGAAGCAGAATACTACTCTGCCTAATACTAATAATTAGTAACCATATAGCTCAGAAAATTTGGTGTAGGCTATACTTAAAGTACCTATTTAGGCCTAGGCCTACTTTACGCGCAACTACTTGACTCGACTCGATACTAGGGGTGTGCGAATATTCAAAAGTTCGATTAGTTGAACGAATACTTAAGTATTTGAGCCCGACTCGATCTTAATGAGTATATTCGAACATTCGAATAGTAAACAAACCTAGAAACAATCTCTAATAATTTCAAACAAATAAATCATGGTATTGTGTTGTTTTATTTCATCCCAACATTTCATGCTTCGTATTATAAAATCACAACGGCAACTTCAGCATATTATGATATCTTCCTTAACTCTAAAGTCTATTCAACCATTTTCAAGGACAAAAATTGTGTTGTGTCATTCATTATTAAAATTACTCCGCTCAGCTGCCTAGTTTACAATGCTCCAATATGATAGGCTTACTGCAACCTACCGGCATGGAAACATAAGCCTTTCAACCATTCTAATTTGATTAATTAACAATAGCCTATATTTAGCATCAATTTAGTTTGTATTAGTTTCTCAGACAGATATCTATTTGTATAACTTTTAAATACATTCTCTTAGCTTAGTTAATACTAGCTGTTGTACCCGTGCTTTGCAACGGGAAAAGAACACGAAATTGAAACATTTTGATCTTTACATCTGTTGATAAAATAGTTACACATAAGGCTTTTAAAAACAAAATTTAACCTTTATGGCCTTTATAGCATAGATGTTGTCATAATAGAACCAATCTTACCTCTCTAAGTAAAATCTACGCTAAGTCTTATTGAATTGTCCTTTTTAGGGACAATGACAAGAGGAGGACACCAGTCAGTCGGAGTGTCTACTCTCACGATAACACCTTTATCCAACATTGCATCCAGTTCTTTTTTCACTGCATCTTTATATCCTGTGCCTTCTGTAGACTACACTCTGGGACAATTAGATGGTGCTAAGGTGTTCTCGAAACTAGATGCTAACTCGGGTTATTGGCAAATACCCATAACAGAAGAAGCTTCATATTTTACTACTTTCATCACACCTTTTGGAAGGCTCACGACTTCCTTTTGAGATTTCCACTGGTTCAGAAGTATTCCAGTGTCAAATGTCTGAATCACTTGAAGGGCTTCAAGGTGTTTTTTGCCATTAAGATGACATAACTATTAGTGATGGGCAGATCCAAGAAAATGTCGGTACCGGATCCGGATCTTAAAAAATTCGGATTCGGATCTTCGGATCCGGATTCAGATACACCATGTCATAAAGGTGGATTAAACAAACGTAATATTAACAGAATGCCAATTTAAATCATACTGTTTAAAATTAAATTGGTAATGTTTAAAGGTTAAAATATCTTATATATAGAATAATCTCCACTTGAGCCCAAAATCCCTCATTTTTGGGGGACACTAAACATTTTCAAAATAATAAAATGAAACATTGTGCCAAGTTTGTATGACCACCAAAAGAGTATCTGTGTATCTTTTACTATCCTTCGATCTTTAGTATGCTATATCGTGGTTTTTGCATGCAGCATCCAATTTTTTTATGCCTGGATCACCTCTGGCTAATCTCTCCCTTAAATTTGTTCCAGGAACGAAAGGACAGGAAGGCCATCAAGGCATAACCAAATGTAGTTCTTTTGCAAAATTGACTGTGTGGTGGCCTCGTCTTTCTCAACAAATCAAAGAACTGGTAAAAAATTTCAAGATATGTGCAGAAAATCACGCTACGAGAGCAGAGCCGTTAATACCAACCCCTTATCTGAAGTGCAAAGGTCACTGGTAACTCTTAATCTCAGACTATTATTCCAGGTTTATGGAGATTGCTAGACTAGATGACTTGAAAATGGGCACTATTGTGACTAGGGATGGACGGGTCCTGAAATTTCGGAAAATTTTCGGGAAAAAAATATTCCCGATTTTTGGGACGGGATTACATTTTATTCGGGAATTTTTCGGGACGGGATTTGGTCCGATCGTCGGCGATTTTGCCGCTTTGCACGTGACGATGACGCCGCTATCGCGAGAGATGTTCACGATAGTTCCGCGAACGCAGGAAGCGAAGTCATTTCGACGATCACGCTGTGACCGCAGAGTCATACCGACGATCACGCTGTGACCACGGACTCATTCCGACGATCGCGCCTTGACCGCGGAGTCATACCGAAGATAGCGCCGTGATCGCGGACTCATACAGACGATCGCGCCGTGACCGCGGAGTCATACCGACGATCACCCCGTGACCGCGAGTCATACCGACGATCACCCCGTGACCGCAGAGTCATACTGACGATCGCGCTGTCATACCGACGATCGCGCTGTGACCGCGGAGTCAAACCAATGTAAATTAGATAGGAACAACCTTTTACACATGTATATAGTTAATTAGTTATAGTTAGTTAGTTTAGTTTTGCATAAAGCCCTTTTTTCTTTTGTACATTTGGTTGTGTAATTTTTATATATGTGGTGGAATAAATTCATAATTCATTCATTCATTCATTCATTCATTCAATTCATTCATTCATTCAATGCTGTGATCGTGAGTCATATTTACGATCGCAGACTCATACCGACGATCACGCCATGACCGTGAGTCATACCGACGATGATGCCGTGACCGCGAGTCATACCGACGATCACCCCGTGACCGTGAGTCATGTTGACGATAGCAACGTGACCGCGAGTCATTTCGACCGTGAGTCACAAGTTTCTATAGGTACCTGTAAATTGTTACCCATTTTTTAGTTTTTATAGATCAGTGCCACAAACGGTAAAATTTAATTTTCTTTTTTGGTAACTGCAATACTTAAGACTTTCTTTTTATTCACAGGAAAAAATCCCGTCCCGTCCCGAACTAAAAATTCAATCCCGTCCATCGCTAATTGTGACATATACAAAGTCCATCTTCGCACGTCATGGTGTACCTGAGACAGTGAGAGCAGACTGTGGACTATAGATTTAAATTAGTTAAAGAGCAACCCCTCTAGAAAATGGGAAAAGTCCAGCGGAATTACTTTTCGGGAGAAGGATCCACACTTATGTTCCAATAATGTCTGATCAACAAAGACCCTATCTGGTAGACGCTGAAAAGTTAAGGGAAAAGGAAGAAGCAAGAATTGATCGTCAAAAGATTTATTTTGACAAAAGACATAGAGCCACAGAATTGCCTACTATACCTGATGGAGCTCAAGTCCATATAAAGGACAGGAATCAAGAAGGAACTATATTAAACAAACATCCTGCACCTCGATCTTATATAATTCAAACACAAGATGGTTGTTTGCAAAGGAACAGAAGATCACTGCAAAGATTTAGCACTACTATTACCTTCTGATTACTCTCAACCAGCACTGCAGACCAGTCCTTCAGAACACCTGAGAAGATCAGCACCTTTCGATCATCCTCCAATGGCGTCGCAGACAAATCCTTTAGCGAATCTAAGAAGATCAGCAAGACAATTCAAACCCACCCGGAGGTTCGATCTTTAAGGGGAGATGTG